GACCTCCACTATGACAGCGGTAATGTGCTAGTATCAACCAGCAGTGATCAATACAGCCCACAATAAAAGGTTACTCTGCATTTAAAGCCCCGCAGCTCTATTGGGCTCAGCATATGGCTGCTCATTGACTAAATGGATCATGTTGCCCCTGGCCTTGCCTCTGCTGTCGATCAAACCCGGTGCACTTAACTGACAGTCTGCCTCAGCGGTGGGGCCGAACCCCGGTGCACAGGCGGCAGAGACATGAAGAAGGGAGCTGAGGCCATTTCTGACTCGCGCCCTGCCCACTGTGTTTTACTGTAACTGTGACGCAACAAGCCAGAGCTGGCCGTGCTGAAGCCTGGCTGCCCAGCTTGTCGTGTTAAATGAAATTACAGGGTGTTAACGTGCGCAAACTATTTATGCAGAGGAAATACCCTGTGGCAGCTCACCGCTCTTCAGTTTGGATTGGAGCTCTGCGCTTGCTCCACTGCAGGGGACAAAACAGGAGAAGAGATGGACAGAGTGGCAACAACAAAGGAGTCACTCACGAGCTTTTTAAACTTTACATTTCAAGACGACGACAGTGTCCACCCCTGTACCCTCTCCTCTTTCACTTCATTAGCACACAGCCTCTACTGTGCCACCGGCGGCTGACCCTCGAGACAACAATTACTGCCTAATTAGGGAGATGAGCAGTGCTTAAGCACAGCTTAGCGTTTAATCGGCCAGCTCAGCGAGCTGCTGGTGAGATCCACATCTCATTGGCTGCAGCAGCCACTCTGACAGAGTCGTCCTAGTTCATACTCTGACACACATCATTAAAGGACCAGTTCACGCAAAAAAAAACAAAAAACAAAACAAAAAAAAACAATAACTTCTCTTCAAACCGATTTGCTGAGATCTGGAAATATTAGCAGCAGCTTACTGTGACACATCGCCCTCAATCATGACTCTGTTCTGTGGTACTTTAAGTGTCAAAATTAACATCACGATAATCCACAGACCCAACTGAAAACAGATTTACTTCGAAGGAAAATCTGTTCACATCGAGGTCTGTGGATTAGCATGAATAACCATATCATTAAATCTTGAAACAGATGTTGCTTCTCAGTGTTTCAAATGTCTTTTCTTTTCTTTTCTTTTTTGAACACAGAAAACTGAATTCCACGCAGCTTTACTGTACTGCACTGAAGTCAGCAACCCTCTAAAGATCACAACACAACCTTCCTCGAAACAGTCAAGAAATAGAAATAGTCATTGTTGTTATCTTTATCCCAGAGCCCAGCGGCTTACAATATGTCCCACCAACTATCCACAACCCAAAGACATTGAGCTGTGATTATAAATGAGAGAGAAACAAAGCAGCGTTCATCGCTTCAGACACTTTTCAAGCTAAAATCAAACATTTGCTGGTTTAAAATTCTCAAATGTGAGAATTTGCTGCCCGTCTTTGTCAAATAAGATGCTTCAGTTTTGGACTGATGGACAGACAAATCACACCGGGCTGTGAGAAGTTTGAATCTGCTTTGACATTGACTAAACGGATAATCGATTAATCAAGAAAATAATTGGAAGTTATCAATTGGTTGACTTCTTCTTTCAGCTCGACGCTGGATGAAAAATAAAAACAATTTGAGCCTGAAAATTCATTCTACTCCTTGGAATAATAGTTTGCCAAAAAAAAAAAAAAATCTTATCTCGAAGTCCATTTACCAGCTTTTTTCCTGGAGCTTTTAACCACATTTTAAGGTCTTCATCAGTGGCGGAAGTTTGCTCAGAAAAAGCTAGTAAGTGGACCTTGAGTTAAGATTTGTTCTGTCAGAGTAAAAGTGTTATGTTATTATGTTTTTGGATGAACAGTCCCTTTAAAACAAACATGAACGTTTTTAATCAGCTGATTATTTTCACTCCACTGGTCTGTCTGACTTTATCTGGTTCTTGATTGTGTCTTTATTTTGCTACATCGAGCCTATCTGCGTGTGCGTGTGTGTGTGTGTGTGTGTGTGTGTGTGTGTGTGGGTGGGTGTGTTTGTAGATAGTGTGTCTCTCTTGTTTGGTGCCGCTTTGTCCAAAGTTTGACTCTGCCATGTTGTTTTATTGAGGTCAACAACAAGTCCTGAGGTGGTGCCTGAGCCGCGAGACAGTTTTCCTGGCAAACAACGATTGTGGGCCGCACCTCCGCCCGTTTCGTCGAGGTTAAGCCTTTACACACTCCACTGACTCCTAATAGTTGAGCAAATAGCTGCCCTCAAGCCTGATACTGTACTCGCTGCCCGAAAGGGTCTTACTGGACTCAGCTGAATAAATAACTGGGATCCTAATATCGCCCTGCACGGCAGCTGGCTCGTGTTTGTGTAATTACCGCCGGCTCCAGGGGGAGGCTGTGTGATAGCGGACCGGTCCTGGGCTGCTTTAGGTGAGTTTCCCAGGCATGGAGCACAGTATGGATGGAGCTTCACTATATAGCATCCACTGTAATTATTATGCTTCCACTTTATGCATGCGCACCATCCTGCAAGCTGAGGAGTCTCTGGCTGTGCACGCTCAAATTATTCCAAACTTCATCCTGAAAAAACTTTGATTCCACCTCCAGCTGAGGCGCGCTGCTGAGAACCTCAGCGCCCGCGGCAACCGGCAGAGCCCGAGAGAGGCGAAGCGAGCGGCTACACAGGTATCAAATGGAGGGAGTGGTCCTGTGGAAACTATGTGAGACAGACAGTGCAGCATCTCTTGGCTCTGTGCCCCCTCAGGCTCTGCCCTGTTCTCGGTCCGCAGGGACAAGTGGAGGACACATACTTCACTGTGCTGGCAGTAGCAGAGGAGTGGCACTGTGTGTAGATGAGGCACGAAAGACAGCGGGTGGAGGGTGGAGGGTGGAGGGTGGGGGGGTGTTCAATCAACATACAGGCACTGAAGACTTGAAACTGTGTACGAGCTGCACATACCAGAGGAGGGTTATTACAGGCAGGAATCCTGACAGTGTCCAACATGAGTGTGTGTTTAAGCTATTTTCACACATGCAGGTTTAGGCACCCCCCCCAATGATCCAAGGCTGGATCATGTGTGTGTGTCTGAGTCTGTTTGTGTGGCCTTCTTTTTTTTTTTTTTTTTTTTTTTTTTTCTTTCTTTCCTTCTTGTACAAACAGAAAGTGTGTGTGAGCTGCAGCACATACCACAAGAAAATGCCTGCCAGCGTGCGAGTTTACACAGCAGCACAGCCGCAGCCCTTTTTTGTCATTGTCAGCGAGTGATTTACAGGAGAAACCCAACACTTGAGGCAACAAAGGGAGAGGAGACGAGAAGCCCCAAAGTGCGCTCGGCTCTGCACACCGGATCTGTAATTTCAAAAAGGCAACTCATGACAGCGACGGCCTGATGAAGGTGGTGGACGCCGGGCTGCTCGTCTGGTTCCCCTTGGAAGGCAGAGGCTCTTCACCCGCTGAGCTGCTGCCTGTAAAACCAGGATTTCTGTACGTCTGCCCTTTGAGCACGAGCACTTAGCAACTGTAGATCGGACTATTTGCACACTTTGGAGATGTAAAACAAAAAAAAACAAAAAAAAAAAAGTGTGCATAGAAAAAGGTTGCAGAGTCAGCCTCTCACAACTCCCCGGGCTCGCATCTCCGCTCCAACATCTGTCTATTCACTTTCCCGTCTCGCGGAAGCTCGTCAAATACTTGGGAAGAGTGGGCTTGTACACACACAAACACACAGCCACAGTTGTGCTAAAGCAACAGGGGGGGGCACGATGTTGACACCAACTTCAAATCTGCAGGGGTTACACTAGATTCCCCTAATGCACCTACTGGCAGCCTGCAGCTTCTTTGGAGCTTATAAACCAGACTGATTTGTTGAAACAACTTGCTCTCTGTGGTTCCAAGTGAAAACTGGAATATTAAAGAAGATATATCAGGATCAGTGCGGGCTGGCCTCATTCTCTCTCCTCAGGTGTTTTACCCCCCACCCCCCACCATCACCCTCCAGGCTGCTTTATGTAACAGAGCAGCAGGTCATGTGTAAGAGAAGCACCTTGAACTCGAGCCTTCGTTTGCCAAGATTGCGTCATGTGTCCCTTGTGGCCTGTCTGGTCTCTCCCAGTGTGTGTGCGTGTGTGTGTGTTTGTGTGTGTGTGGTCGTGGGGAGGTAGAAGGCCTGAGCAGGTGATTTGATGTTGCTGTGCTCACCACTATTGCTCTGACAGCTGTGTTTACACAGAGGCTGATAGACACCATCTGAGAAAAAAAAATCTACAAGGGTGATTTTTTTTTGGGGGGGGGGGGGAGTTGAGGCCATTTGCACGTGAAGGCAACATCTGACAAATCCTCTGCAGAAGAAGCTTGACTGAGCGGTCAGGTGCAGATGAACGTCTATTCTCCTCTGACTAGTTTTGGGACATTTTTGTTTTCCTCCTCTTCTGGGATCAACGCCTGATGTAATATTGCAGTGTCAGCAGAAAAGCAGAGCAGGCAAAGTAAACAAGAGGGCAGGGTGTGTTTGAGCAGTTGACTTGGGAAAGAAGAGGCACACAACAGCTTGAGGCCCCCACACAGAAGAACACAACGAGTCTGGAGGGCAACTGGGAGCAAATATCGAGCCTGACACCAGCATGATAAGGACTGCTGGGGAGGACGAGCTCCACTGTGCAGCTTAAAGGCGCATGTTTACACACACTCCTGTCAGAGGACGTTTGTAAACAATCCCAACCCGTTTTAAAAAGTGTAAAAAGAAAAATGGACACGACCCCGCCTGAAGTCCTCATCATTTCCAAGTGCAACCACGCCACAGACACAAACTATGTAAACTTGTCTTGGCAAGCTGTGATGGTTTTTCAGTAATTCCTGCATACTGTCAGAAACACTGGAATGAAGCATGTCCCGTGCGTTTCTGCTGCTCTGCAGACGCTGCCACGTTTCTCCTCTCAAGCAGAGCCTCATGCACTTTTGAGTGTGTGTATGCATGCATGAGAGCGAGCATGTGCATGTGTGTGTTCGTGTGAGTGTGTTTGGACTTTTGCTTACTTTTGCACTGCAGGTCCACCATGGCCTGGTACCACTCGTCCTGGTCCGCCTCGTTCTCCGCGGCGATGGCGAAACTCTCGGCCCGGGTGTAGAGCACGATCATGTGCTTGTTCTTGGAGTCGGCCCGCTTGTTGATGTTGAAGCAGGTCTCCAGCGCCACCGCTTTCTTCGGGACGGGGGCCTTGCCGCGGAATTTCTTCTCGCTCTCGTAGTACTCCAGGCGGGCCGGGCCGCGCTCCGAGGCGGCGCGGAGCACGAAGTACCGCCGGTGCATGGACTTCTGCTTGCGGAGGTAGCCGCTCTTCCGCACGTCCTCGCAGCTGAACTGCTCGCCCGCTTGGTTGTCCATGACACCCACTATGTCCTTTAATTCCCACAAAAAAAACAAAAAACAAACGCAACTTTTTATTTCTCTTGTAGTATTTCTGCAAGTTTAGCGAGGTAATTCAAACATCCCCCGGCTCCGCTCCCCTCCCTCTCTCCCACATCAACGCAGGCATGTGAGAGGGGAGGCAGAGGTCGGTTTGGGTTGCTGCGACTGCGAGTCCCCGGAGGTCAAACCTGAAGCAGGGTTTAATGTGCGGCTGCAGCTATAGTCGGTGTCCCTCTTCTTTCGGTTGTTTTTCTTCTTTCTCTCCTGCGGACCGACCCAGCGCAAGTTTTCCAGGCGCACACGGACGAGCACATGCGGCGAAGCTCGGCGCGGAGCTCCCCCTACTCTCCACTACTACTACTACTACTGCCGCCGCCGCTGCTGCCAGTGTTTCCAAGCGCTGTCTGAGCGGTTTAATCCCATTTACTGCACATCACAGAGTGCAGAGCCCGTCCTGCCGCACACTGCCGCTGTCTCTCAGGCTGTCTGTCCCCCCACCCCTGCCCTGCTCGGCTCTGGTCTTGTTGCCGTGGTGTGGAGAGCAGCGGAGCAGCTACCGTGGAGCAGGACTGTCACTCACCGCTGTACTAGTACTCTGGAACACGGCGCGTTCACTGACACAGCCCGAGCTCGGACAGCAGAGCTCCCAGCCTGCGAGTCAACATTTTTTTGTGCATTCCTCCGCTTGCTTGTAGTGATAGAGAAATTTATTGATACGGGCGGAACATTGCGGCAGTCAAGTAAAAAACAAAATAAAACAAAACATGAAAATAAGATCATAGAAACTTAAATCACTAGAATCTTAACCAGAAACTGAACTAAAACTAAAAACCAGAAGCTTTACTCACAAATATATACAGCGACAGCCCCTGGTCATAATCTGTACATTACTACAACTCTAGCAATGTACTGTATTATATTAATATTACATATGCCATTTTAATTGCATAGATTATTGGGAATAACTCTTTACATGTTTGTAAGTGGTGTTTTAATTTCAGGAACTCTTCCCAAAACAACTGAACTGTCTCTGTTTCTTCTTAGTTATTGTGAGTAATAACACACAATAAACCTTTGTGTAATATAGTCTCTATATACAGTGGATTTTAAAGCTAACATCAAGCTAACATCATAAATCTGAATATCAAACAGTCGCATCCAATAATAAATGTTATCATTTAATTACTCCCTGTAGCAGCTTTGGTGCCAAATAAAACTCTGTCTTTTTCTTGTTTCTGCTCTATTCATGTTTACAGTAATAAAGCTTTTAGAGTTACACTACTAGAAAGATTATTTTTACACACATTATTTGTACAATTCATGCACACAATGTGGTGTAAGCAAAGTGTACTGTATACTAAGTAGTGTTTTCAGTTTCATTCCTTTAATTTTTTGTTTCATTTATTTCATTTTAAACGATTGTTTTTCCTTCTTTGTTCTGTTTCCTGTGCTGTCATAACGTCATTTTTCATATTCGTTGCATTTTTATTGCACCTAGAGAGTTTATCTGAGGTTCACTCAACCAGCAATCTGGATTTCCCACAGCACTTGAACGCAGCGACAGTTCCAGTGTGTGGAGTAAGATTTCAGTGTTGGCACTTCCATGAGTCCATCCTGTTCTATTTATTGTAAAAATCCCCTTCTGTCCTGTATTAATACGCTCATATAAACACACTTTTTTTTTTTTTTGCAACACCCTGCACATTATGCAACACAATCATTTACTACATGATATGAGTGATTAATACTGTGAGATGTTGTATAAAAATATTAAAAAATCAAAGGTCACAGTGAACTCACTGAGTCCTATTGAAACACGGTGCTGCTCCTATGATTATTGATTCATATAAGTGTCTGACAAACAGAAGATTAAGCTGCTGTAATTGGATAAATGAGAAATTTATAGGCGTGTTATTGGTGCCACTCAGACTGTCTGTGCGCACAGTGTTTTTATCCGTCTAGACTGACAGGCTGAGAAGTGAAACCTCGATCTCTCACTGTGATGAAGCTCAAAAAAATGCATATAAAGCAGCTTACTAACACGCATTCTTTGACTCTGAATTTAAAAACACAATAAATAATTCAAATGGGTCTAATAATAGCCACTCTGATAGCTCTTAAGGGTTTCTATCTTTGTACTGTATGCTTATGCAGTATGTATGTTGTTATGCAATATGCATCCAAAAGTAACCTTGTGCATGAGGTCAGAGAAAAGTGGATACCGTGCGCCCCCTCCTGTTTGAAGGGAACATTACAGCCTTTAAAGACAAGTTTCTGTCACACGAAGAATATTCTCAGTTTCATATTCATGCTTGTATTTTTGTTTATGCGATTATTTCAACACGTTTACATATAAATGAGCCAGAAAACACACAAAAAGAAACACACAGCCAAACTGACTTAAGAAGCAACAAACTGATTTTATGAACATGAATACTTGTCATTACAAAGACGTTGTTACATGAATCTCTTTTCTTGTTTTTTTTTTTTTGTTTTTTTTTTTTGTTTTTGGCAAAATAGGGGAAATTAAATTTCCAATGTCAACCGAAAAAACAGCCAGAGAACATTTTGGTCCGGTACATGAAGCGATGAAGTCATCATACACATTTACGCAAGTTATTCTGAAATTGCTTTTACATTCAGTAGCATCTCCTTTTAGCCCTCTAAGCGCATGCAGCCTGAGAGTGGAAAACATAGATTATCCTTCAAAGGAAACCTGACAAAAAACAGTGACGAATGCAGACATGTTCCATACACCCATTACAGAGGAAAGCCCGTCTTATCTTTCGACGCTAATTCACATGCATCAGGAGGCTGTTAAGGCGGTTGTAACCATCTGTAGAAACTCATGATGCAGGGTCAGAGTCTCACCTGGCTTTTCCTTTGGACGACTGAGAGACTCAAACATTTTTAAAGCAGAAGACAACACTGAGGTGTTCACCGGCGGGCTGGGGGTTTTTTTTGCACTTTTTAGCAGGAGATGAAAGCAAAGTAGCAGCAGCAGCGACATGTGTGTGTGTAATATATGTATGTATGTATGTATGTGTGTGTGTGTGTGTGTGTGTGTGTGTGTGTGTATATAAAGTGTGTTTCTGCAAAAATCATAGAGGCGTCGTTTACTCGTGACTCCCACAGAGCCCTGAGGTGGCGTCTACTGGCACACAAACACCTTCTGACGTTTGTCTTGTGTTACAAAGACAGCAAGCCAACCCTCTCACACACACACGAATTTCATAATTACATTCACACACTTTTTTTTTTTTTCCTCCACAAACACGTAAACACGGACAGAAAGGGGAGGGGGGGGGGGGGGGGGGGGGGGGGGGGGGGGGGTGGTCTGCATGGACGTCACACCCTCCCTCAGAGGGTGAAAATACTCCAGAGGCTTTGAAATGGCAGCGACTCCTCAAGTTCACTTCTCCCTCAGTTCCCAGAGATGGATGGGTGGGTGAAGTAAGGAGAGGGGGGGTGGGGTGGTGGGGGGGTCAGATGAAAGGATTTCGCGACGTCCCTCGACTGGGGTAAACATTCCCCTAAGAGACAAGAGAGGCATGGTGAGAATGAGCAGGCAGGCCTTTACTATACTTCCTGTAGTTTGCAGGAAAAGAAGAACTTGCAAAAAATACCAATTAGCCCCCCCCCAACACACACACACACACACACACACACTTTCTTTTATCCCCCTGAAGTGCACTTGTTTGCCAGGCAGTGAACGCGTACTCACAGTAAACGGGTTCACCGACATCGGCCGAGGGACTTTGGGCTGAGAGTCTGACGCAGGGAAGGAGGCAAAACCTGCAACATGATGCACGCATAACATGACAGAAAATAACACGTGGTGTGAACACAGCACTGAAACCAGAAACCGCAGATAAGAAGGTGAAGCAGCAGCAGCAGCAGCTCCGTACTGGATGTGCGAATTGGTATTCTTGGACTGTTGCTGTGGGTCACTGTTGAAATAATGAAACATTTGCAGCTTCACAGCTTCCCAGTGTTTGATCTGCAGGCGGTGCACATATAGTAGGTGTCACCCAGGCAGCCAGTGCTGCAGTGTGTTTGCAGGTTCTCGTTTTTACCTTAAATGTATATGAGAGGGTGTAAGCCTGTCATTTACTCATGTTTGCTGTGATTTTTATTTCTCATCTTCCTGAGCAGGTTACAGAGCAATGTTTGTGAGCCTCAGCTCAACCTGTTCCTTATGCACAATGTCAGGAAAGATGGTTTGTTGATTAATAGTGCACATCTAAATTATGAACATGTTTTCTCATTAAAAAATAATTACAGTGTGGAACTTAATGTGTAAAAGGATTAAAAGATCTCTATCAGACCTCTGTGTTGTGTTCAGGTACACCATTCGATTTACTGTAATGTTCTCCTAGAAGATTAAAGGCTTTGTTTGTTATGTGATACGGGTTTATTTCTGATCGTATGATGATTTAAGGCTTATATTTTTTTAATGAAAATCTCTGGTAACTTCTTGCGGTTGGATGATTACAGCTGTGTTCTCGGAGTGGAGTGTCTTTGTGGCAGACTTAATTTGCAGAGCTTGGGAAAGAGGACAAAGCTCTTCGTTAGCGATGCGCTGTTAAATGTAAGAAGTTGTGTTCATGCTGGACAAACGGTTCTGCGCCGCAACAATGTTTTTAGTGTCTCGTATTTGCTGGGAAATTGTGTGACACAATAAACCACCACTACTACCAGTGCTACATTCTTCTCTGCCCTGAGATTTATCACATAGAGTTAAAATTTACACGAACGTATGTACGCACAAAAGCTGTGCTATTGAAATTAAATCATCATAAGTGACAAAACAACACCCACATAAGATATCAGACTATGACAGATATAATAATAATGTAACAAAAGTTACCATTGGCTTCCTGGTTACTGGCTGACTCATGAGGAAATGCATTCTGGGTGGCAGGCGCTGGGAAAGAGGCAGACGGAGGGAACACAGAGGTGGGCGAGGTGACAAACGCGCTGGAGTCACCTGGGGAGAAGAAAGACGCCCACATATCGTGAGATCAGGCAACACATAATTAATTCAACAGTTGTCAGCTGGTATCAAATGAAAAGGCAACCGACGGAGAAGCGTGTCTTGTATATACTGCAGAGCCCGCAGGCCGCATGAAGCAGTAATGAGCTATCTGACCAGTCGGATGTAAACTGAATACATCAACACATAGTATGGTTGAATAATTCAAATGGTTGGATAGGACACTAACAATCAGCTGCCATTATATCTTCTATCTTTTCTCTCTTTCCATATTTATACAAACCTATTTTTTTGCCTCTTAAGTTGCTCCTTGTGGGACAGATAAAGTATTTTGTGCAAAGATTAATCAGTATTTTAAGAATAACAAGGAAAGACGTTCTCCATACAACATCTGGAGTTTGTCAATAAAACTGAAAACTGTCAAAATAATGACACACGATCACAGGTTTTGATGATACAGTTAAAATATTCAAACCCTATGAGCGCTTTATTGACAGTTCATGTCTAATTATTCTCAAAGTCAAAATCCTTTTCTCTATTGAGGGCATACGAAGGTGCATACATCATGAAAAGTATGAAGTATTAACACGAATCTCTGTAGTAGCGGTATTTGTTCTTTTAGTCTAACTGTCCGGCACCTCCCTCTTCTCACAGATGTATCTCATTAAGCAATCTTGCATTCTCTCTGTTAATTGGAGTTTGAATCTCACCGGTCTACATGAATCATCACATCCACGAGTATGTATAACATGATTAAAAGCCTTAAAGAAAACAAGTATTGATGTTTTACCGTCTTAAAAACCTTCAGAAAACAGAGATAAATGAAGGGCCATGGACATGAGTCTCACCTCCTGAGGCATTGCTGAAGGGGTTACTGGGGGAGAGGGCAACAGGCTGCTGGGAAGCAGAGCTGGAGCTGGAACTGAATGGGTTGGGGAAATCTGAGACACACAGGGGGGAGATAATTCACAGTGTGTGGGGTTAACAGGGTACATTCCTGCCTATTCAAACCAACGCTGCTCTGAGTCACACAGATGCATCCTAATTAGGGGTGTTGGGTGGCTCCAAAGATGATGGAGCTGAGTGTAAATACAGTGCAGGTTAGCAGGAAGGATCAATGCAGCTCGTGCTCGGTACCTACTCGCAAAGGTTTGGGAGCTGGAGTGTGTATCGACACCGGGGGAACTGGGGAAAAGTAGAAAAACGGAGGATCAATCAGAGTATGACCTTTAAAGGGCTCCACACACAGGAAATTTAAAGATCTGCCATGTTAAACAAAAGCTGATTTGACAAGATTTTATTTTATTTTTATTTTTTTCCTACCTGGCAGGAGTCGAACTGGATGAAAGTCTGCTGCCAAAGATGGCGCTGTACTGCGGAGGACCGCCAGGTGGAGCTGCAAACAAGCATTTCACACTGACCACATCATAACCTCAGGGCTCTAATGAGCGCTAATTCAAGAAATCAAGTGCTGCTACTATTTTGAATTGTTGGTAAAAATCTCGCAATGAGCTCAAACAGTTGATCTTAAGCATGTAAGTCATCAAAGAACAAAAGCATTACAAATACACGGAATAAAATATGGTCTCTGTGTTCAGCTTGATATGAATCAAAGTGAGCTGGGGCAGAAAATCAATAACCTCCTTACTCTGCCAGGCAAGGGAGGATGTGATGAAGGTGGAAAACAACAAAGCTTCTTGTAGAAAAGCTTGAGGGCTTCTCAAATGAATCCTTTGCATCTTGGTCATTAGACAAATACAGCTGATTTTGAAAACAAATCAAGAAGGTGCCTTGAGTCAGGCTGTGCATGATCTGGAGCAAATACAACGAGTATAATTCAACTGCTAAAAGCCTTGGTATTTGGAGTAAGGATGTTATGCAACATAGTTGAGCCAGCCTTGACAATCTATATCACATGCACACACTTAAACACTCCCTCTGCCTCTGTATCTATCTATTGCACAGTGGTGGAAGGAATACTCAGCTCCTTCAGTTAAGTAAAAGTAGCAATAAAACAATGTAAACAATGTAAAAATTATTATATTATATTATAAGTAACAGCCCTGCAATCAAAATCCTACTTACAGTAAGTAAGAGTAGCTGCAGAACAATGGCCCTTGTGACTGATCTAATGCTAGTTAATACATTATTAAATTGTTGATGCAGATCATCAAATGCGTATGTAGCATGTTACTGTTGTAGGCGGGTGAGGTGGAGGTACTTTTAAATACTTAACATACAGTTTGGTAGTTTAGTCTAGTGGTAACATGAACATTAAAAGTCACAAATTCAGACATTTTCCCACCTGTGGTCGTTTCAGAGAAGACGCTGTCCAGCTGTGACACGGCAGCGTACCTGTCCTGGGGGTTCGAGCTGCCCACCGGGGGTGTTGTCTGGCCAACACTGGCAGGCTGCTGCTGCTGCTGCTGGGACAGAGACTGGGGCAGGGGCTGTGGCTGAGGATGGCTCATACCTCCAAAGTCCACGCTGAGAGACTTGGGGAAGGCCCTAAAGGGCCCCGTGGCCCCAGAGGCTGATACTGTACGACCTGAGAGCGAGAGAACAAGACTGAGACTCAGTGCAAAGGCAGCAGATAAAAGCTGAGAGGCTCTACTGATGTAATTCACAATATGAAGCTTAAATCTGCAGAGCCAAAGTCATCTTATTCTTTCTCACATTCTACAAGTTAAAAAAAAACAGTAGGATTACAAATCCTCAAAGTGATTAAAGGGCTGAGCAAAAATTCAATAATATTTAATTATATTCATAGTTTAATAAAATTGTGAAAAATTTAAGAATATCATGTCACTTTTGACTGCATTACTTTTGAAACCAATGCAGAGGCAAATATAAAATGAAAGCCCATATAGTGACTGTTTCTGTAACGTTCAATCATCAGTAGATAGAGTTTTCTATATGCTAAACTAAATTTTTTCTGAGTACTGGGAAACTCCATCTGCTGAAGATGATCATGGGTATGGTCAAAAATACGGTATGGTCAAAAGCCCCAGAATAAATACTAAATGGACCTACAATCTCACCCCAAGTGTAATTGTTTTCTCAGTTGCTGCTTTCAAGGTTAAGAATGAACTTTGAACCTCAAAAGGACTTTGTGAGGAGAAAGAAAATCTCCCTACAAGGTCCATTTAGTAGCTCTTAAATCACATAGTCTCCATCAGTATATGGACTTTTCCCGAATGCTCCTAGTTGTTGAATTTGTAGAGGTTCAGTTTTACATTTTTTGGAACACTCGTCCATTTAACATAAAATCTGAGGTTGAACGTTCACTCTTGACTTGGAAACAACAGTTGACAATACAATCCCACAACAAGGTTTATTTAGTAACTGTCCTGGGGCCTCTGATCACTTCAGCTTTTACACCAACATGGTCAAGAGGTCCTGAAGGTGCTCTGAAAAAAAGTAAATTTGACCATCCACTGAGCAAACTTCATGTGCTGAGGAAGTTCATGTGATGTGATCAAAAGCTATAGAGCAGCTACTAAATGTCGATTTTTTTTTCATCAAAAAAATAGAGATCAATTCAGGAATATTACTGAAGAAATTTGGTTTGTTATCATGTTAAATCCAGATCAGTTCATGGACATTAGTTTGATTTTATGCTAGCAATTATTGTTATAAACTAAAATAAAAAATATATGATTATTTATATGTGCACAATCAATAAAAAGTGAATCAGACATCAGACAACATAAAACAACCTAGAATAAGGCAATTCATCTCATGCTACATTAACATTTCCATGCTGAGGCTTGTCAAAGGCAGGGTTAGTTTGACATATCACGTAGAATGTACCGCTATCATGGTTAAGCATTAACAAAAAGTCAAGCGGCAGAGCAGCAAGCCAACAAGTTCTTGGAGAGTTTTCAAAGCACCAAACAAAAAAAAACTGTTAGCCGGTAACAAAGGCAGGAAATTACGATTAACATCTTTCCATGTAGCAAGCTTTCCACAAACAGCATGCTAGGATAATGTTAGCTTGGGGATTCAAATAAAAACACAGCGTGTTTTCCTCTGTCAGATGACGAGTCAGAGACACAGACCAGACTATACTGGACCTGATACAGATTATCTGAAGATATAAAGCATGCAAGAGTCAAGCTGCATGTTTTTGGGATATGATCATACATTCCAGGAGAGTTTAGAGATACAGCCTAACTTTGCGAACACACCTCAGCTTCCTACAATACTTGTTTGTGATGTTAATGTGTGTTGTGGGATTACAGCTGTGTCCTACATAGTTTTTAAGTACTTCAAGACCAACGTGGAGGGAAATATCAGCAGCCCTCCGCAGACGAGGGCAGGAGCAGCTATGGCCTAAAAATAACATTACTTTAAACTTGTTCTTCTTCCTCTGAGGGAACAGTGCGTGTGTGTGCGTCTCCTTGACCCGCTCAGCCCTCAGATCTGAGCTTTAAAGTGGGAAAGCTGACTGATGAAGAAAAATATCGACTCCGGTTGCAGCATGTGACACTGGCCAGCCCTGACTCGAGTGGCTAAATTAATATAGAGTGTAGAGTGCTTTGTCTTCTCTCAAACTGCTCGAAAATCAAGTCAAATTCACATGCATGTGAGGCATGGTCAGCACCACCACGGCCCACAGATTGGCCATCTATTATGAATGATACAGCGTGAAGAAGCTTATTGATCGCAGCCATTCAGCACACACTCAGATGCATGGGTTGGTGCCGTGTCTTACCTAAAGTGAAGTGGTTTTTGAAAGAGCTACTGGCTACGAGGTTGGGGAGGAGAGGAGAGTGGCATAAGATAGACACAGGGGTTAAACAGAGGGAGGAGAGGAGAAAAGAGAGGAGAAAGTGTCACTTAATGTCATATGAAACTGCCGTCCCTGCTGTCATCTGCGGGCCAGCTAAGCAGTCTATTGAATTTTGCTTTTCACGAAAGACAACCCAGTATGTTAAGATGATGACATGGACCCATTGTAAACCCACACAATGGTGAAAAAGCTGAAAATGATGACTCCCTCTCCTCTCTTTATCCTTCCCAAAGTGACACTTGGAGCCAACAGCCATGAGTGGACAGCATCATCAGTGAGAATCAATGAAAATATTCAACTGACACAATACACTGGCACTATACACTGCCAAATTTCCAAGCTGGAGGCTCACAGAACAGAATAGCATCCACTTTTATGAGACAATCCATGCGGCCTCATCGCCTTTCTTAGATCACATCAAGGTGCAATGGAAAGAGGAACTGGGTTCACAAATATAACAAACATCGTGGAGGTTAGCAGTTGGTTTAGTGCATTCATCATTAACATGCATCAGACACAGGCTACTACCGTTTAGGCCTCATCGAACTGGTAGTAAACAGGCAAATCTCTTTCCATGAATAGATGAAAGCTGCTTAAAGGGTAAGGCTGGCATCATTCTGTATTTCTGTTATCATTAACAAATCCCATAGAAAAATCAATACCAACAACGTGTTGGTCTCAGTACGTCTGTGCCACTCAGCACCAACCCCATTGGTTCCTACTGAAGATGTAAATCTTTAAAAACGGGCCACTGATCTGTGGTTTCATTTTCATTTCCTTAAACAGCTGTGCACTGGGTTTTTTTAGCAGTCATTACTCTAACAATAAGAAACAGTGCTATTTTTGGGGGACTATTTTCAGTGGCGGGATAATACACATTTGGTGCTCTAATGAGAATTTACAGCAACAGAACGGTGTTGTAGGCTGGCTGTTTCCCCCTGTTTCCAGCCTTTATGCTAAGCTAAGCTAACAAGCTGCTGGCTGTGCCTTAATGTTTACTCTACAGACATGAGAGTGGCTTTAAGGTTAAAATAACCAGAAAGGAATGTCTGTTTTGGCTAATCCAGCAAATTAAATACCTGACAATCAAGGCACATCTCTGCAAAAATCATATTAAATCAAATATAGCAATAAAACAGTCCTGATTATTGATTTCTGATATTTCAAAACAACATATCCAAAACCCCGATCACGGCTGAGGCTGCAGCCTTCTCTATGTTTTGCCTGCACAGTGACTGATTCTCCTAAAATGGGAAGGGACTACATTACCATCTCATAAATGCTTGTTTGAAAATCAAGCACACCACCCAAACCAAAAACCACAGAGCTGTATAAGATTTAGCAACAATTTTTGGACAGATTTCTGGATGAATTTCCATCAGTGTGTATTCATACTATATTATTCATTAAATGTTATTTACGGGTTTGTGTGGATGCATGAAGGAGTATATTCTGAAAACACAATAAGAATATTTCAAAATTACACTTTACAGTTATATTGAGAGAAGGAAGAAAACAAAGCGTCCAGTGGGGGGACACACCTGATGGTCGTGGGAGAGCAGGGAAGGAGGGGGCGTGGCTCTGAGCTCCCAGCGCTGACGACAGGGAGCCTGGCCGCTGTCTTTCTATCCCGCACAGGGTGGGATCTGTATCGCAGAGAGACAACAGATAGAATAAGAGGACAAACAAGTGAGGGAATCGATTAGATATAGTCCAAAAATATCTAACCCTCCACTAAAGATCAACCCCTGACCTTTCAGAGGGGGGTCTCTGAAGCTTTGGGAGCGTGATGGCCTAGCGGTGAACACGTCGGTCCGCATGTCGGCAGGCGAGATCGCAGGCGCTCGATCCCATGATGGCAGCTGGGACTGAGACTAGAGGAGGAGAGACAGGGAAAAAGAGAAAGAAGCAGATGGGAGGTAGAAAGAGAGACACAAAGGCTGAAGAAATGAGCGTGTTTCATGCTTTCTCAATAATTCATACGCAGGGGCTTTGATGTCGAGGTTACCTGGCCCTCTTACTGTCCAACCCATCAGTCCCTGTCTCTTTGCTGCAGCGTGGAAGCGAAATCAGGTCGTTTCTTCACCTTCTATTCTCGTTTGCTTTTCTGGCTCTCTTTGAACTACTTGTCTCTTTCACTTCCTCTTTTTCTACCACACCCTCCCGCTCACTCTCTTTCTTGAATCCTCATCCTTGTACATTCACCCCCCTCACTTTATCTCCATCACTCTCTCAGGCCATCACATGCACAATCAGGACACATTACGCCTCTTACCAGTGGCCTTGTGGCTCTGGCGTTGGGGGGCAGGTTATGAGTCGGGGCCTGGCTCGCTAAGGGACCATGGGAAGGGGGCACAGCCTGGACCCCGGGGCTCCAAGGACCCTCAACATCTCTCCGGTTCTTACTTTTGGAAAAATGCCTGCAAAAAGATTGGGAGATAAAGTGAGTCTTTGTCACTAACAAACCTCATAAAAAAAGCACAATTAATGCTCTGTTCATCAAACTTCACGACTAAGAATATGTCTAGGGCTCGAAGCTAAACCAAAACAGGAACTGTTTTTTTCACACACTGAAAGCAGCTATTATCCTTGGGCTAATTTTCTTGAGTAGGAGCCTCCATTTCAAACTGTGAATGTCTAATTTTGGAACAAAGATCATTGGTGGTTGTTTGGATCTAATTTTGCCCTGTTTCACCCTTTCCCTTCTACAGCTGAAAAAATTACATGTGGTCTATTTATCGATTAGCCCATGGACAAAGAATGAATCCATGAAATGTTTTATAATTGAGTCATCTTTTTTTTTTTCCAAGCAAAAATGCCAAAACAAGACTGAGAGTCTAAAGCCATGCTAGCAGTTCTGTAACACTGAAGCATGCTAACATGCTCACAGCAAGAATAGTATTAATGCTAGATTTCATTTTAGATGCAACAGTGACAATGCTAACACGCTGATGTTTAGCACGTATAATGTTGTGTTCATGCAAAGTCAGCATAATGGAAAGAAGAGGAAAAACAGCTCTTATTCCACCTTTGGAGTGTTCGCACTTTAGCTTTGATGCTAACTTTGTGCAGCCTAAATTAGTTACTTTTGATGCGACACATATTTGTAGCAGCTTGTTACCAAGTGAGTCCAGATACAAGTAAACAGTGCACAGCTCCTATAAAATCAGCTGAACTGTAATAGTGTTAATATTGGATTTTATTTTGATGCGGCGTTAACTGCCAGCGGTGGAGCATTCGCAGACATTCTGCCTGACAGTTTGTTGACATTTTCACCAAGTGGGAGAGATTATTTAAATTCCAGATATCTCTGACTCGGTATTACAAGTCAGAGGCTGACGTGAACAGTTTTTCTCTTTCGTGGTAATTCATCCAACACCTGTCAACACATTTCACACAAAAACGTCAATCTCATGGCGGCACAGGAGGAAAAAGTCCTGAGGATTCATTCACCGTAAATGTCTGTAGTAAATATTTCACTCTGGATTAAAGCTGCTATCCTTGAAAATATGTTGCTGTTTTTCTTCATCTTATATTTCAGTAAACTGAATATTTTTTAGGAAAGTTTTTGAATCGGTTCATGTAGAAAATAATCAGCAGATTGATCAATATTTTAAAATAACCACCAGTTGCAGTTGCCTATTCACCTCTGAGCCAGCGCTCCTGCCTGGTTACATCAGCATGTCATTACTGCAGATGAAAAATCCTCACCATTTCTTCTTCTCGTATTTGTCCTGGAGGAACTCTTTGAACTTCTGAGAGTCCTTCATGTCGGAGCAGCCGTCCGTCTTTGGGTCAAACACACACAGCCAAGTCCTCCTCCCGACCTGAACACACACATTTTGCAGGAAAACACTTAAAAATCATGTGGCCTTGGAGAGTTATGCAGCATCAGAAAGGGAGGGGGGGGGGTTCTGTGTCTAATTGCTGGAGCATAAAAATCAAACCACAATTGCTGTTTTTGTTTGACATTTAGTCTCAGCGAGTCTCTCACAAACACAAACAGGCTCTCATCAGTGATTCATCTCAGAGTGCGGCAAATATTACTGCCTGTGATGATCACTCATCAGAGGACGATGAGGAGTCAAAGCTGGATGATGCACACCTCTGCCTCTCCTCACATTATATTTGACACACACACACACACACGCACACACACGCACACACACACACAAAAACACGCGCACACACATCCTGGCCAACAGCGAGCAGATAAAAACAGACAGCACTCATCTCGACAGCCTGAAACGCTTCACCTTTTACCTGTGTGATATAAGCCTAGGCGTGAGTGCTGCCCACACCAGTTGTTCCCAGGGTGGGGGCTACGGGCCGCCTCATTTTCATTTCTTTTATTGCACATGTTTACATATATATAATTTCACCACCTTAAAACAGGAAGTTAGATTTACACTTACACTACGCTCCACATTTAAGTTTTCAAACAGAAGAGATACGCAATAAATATCAAAAATTTGCATAGTACAAAGGCCGTTGAATATACCACATGGTCACATGACAGCTCAAGGTTGCTGGTTGTCATAGTAACGCATGGTTAGCTTGATTGATACAGGATTTTAGTGAGGCTGATATCGATATTCGGCCATTAAAAAAATGTGTCTGTGATATATCTGCCATAGAGCTGAAAAAAATTCTGATATTGATTTTGATCAATATCATTCATTTATTGATTTTGGCTTCTTAGTTGTGAGGGTTTTTTGTGGCAGTAAACTGAATGTTATGTTTATTGACAAAAAAAAGGGATCTGAAGACGTCACTCTGGGCATCAACATTTTTGATAACAATCCTTTAAATTATATTTTTTGCTAAAGAAGTTTTGCCAAAATATGAAGTGAGTGAGAAAAAATCTCTATGAAGGGGTGCCCTGGTTTAAAAACAAAATTTGGGAACCACTGGTCTAAACACAGACACACACACACACACACACACGCAAACACACACAAACACTCACAAACACAGACAGAAAGGAAATAGATCGTGGTTTGGGTGGGACAAACTGCTGGTCCTTTTGTTTCTTGGCACTGTGTGAGCCCAGCAGTAGCATTCTTCCCAAGAAAAAAGCTCGACCACAAAGGCTGGTTCAACTGCTCGCCACAAGGGACGTTTCATATTCCATATCACAACCACAAAGTTTTGGTTTTTAAAACTGAACTCGGACCAAAAAAACACAAAACTCATGAGCTGCTGCGTTCGCTTCGTGACCTTGGATGACCTCACAAGTGTGAATAGCCACAGAAGTCTTTGCAAAGTCCCACCTCCACCTGGAGCCCCAGGTGGGACGTCACTCACCTCGTTGCCATGGTTCTGGAGGAATTCCACTTCCTGTTGGGAGAAGGTTGTCATGGAGATAGACTTGACTCTGTGAGGAGGGTTGAGGCCTCTCCTGGGACACAGAGGAGAGATGGAGAGAGGAATTTGGAGTAAAATAAGGAAGAAAAAAAGGAAGATGTGTAAGATAAGTCTTTCCTCTGAGGACAGAGCAGGTGGGAGAGGAAGTATTGAACACGTGACTGTGAATTTAAGGGCAGATTTGTTGTGAAACAGGTGCCACACACACACACACACCCCCCTTTGTGACAGAGAAACATGATGTTTTCAGTAACCAGAACCTGTCTTCGCTCTCCATGCTGGGGACACAAAGTGGGACACTGCTGAACGTGTGCAAGATTGCGCAATAACGCTCACTAAAGTGCTGAAACCGTCTTCCTGAGCAGTGCTGGGACTAGGCTGAACATGCAGAACAAAATGTGACAGCACACACACACATACAAACACGCGCATGTCCACGCCCACACACCGGAGAGGAGCCTGGACGGAAAGAGAGAGAGAGAGAGAGAGAGAGAGAGAGAGAGAGAGAGAGGAGAGAGAGAGGAGAGAAAGGTAGTGTCAAACCTGCACCATGACGAAATGAAACGTAACTCAGAGCTGGAAAATGACCAACTAGCGGTCTGTCGTTTATGGAGCTGTTGGAAGACACGCATGAGACAGAGACAGAGAGAGAGAGGGAGGGAGAGAGAGAAAGAGAGAGGTAGACACTGCGTAAATTAATGTGTGCACACAACCACGGCTGTTGCACCACACCATCACTCCCTGTTTACGCTGAAAAAATAAGCCAGCAAACTGTCAATCTGTCCCTGGATGGTGCATGGTGTAATGTCAGGCCTCCTACTTTTACTCTGCTGCTCCATCAGTATCTGTTTGTCTCCACGCTGATGCGAAATGTGCAGTAAATAAACCCAGGAGGGGCGGCGGGTTTTTACTCACAGCATTCCGGAGCACGACGTGCAGACGAAGCTGCCCACCGTGATGTCGGTGTAAGTCACCCCGGGCTGGTTGCACTCGAAGCAGTGTTTGTTTACTCCAGACTGGGCCAGCTCCCGGACCTTGCGGGCACAGATCTCCTGGTTGTCCCGGTGCTTTCGGTTCGACATTTTATTCTCTCCGGTGCCTGACGGCCAGGCTCGGTGTGAAGCCGGTAACACGCCGCTGTCCTCCTCCTGGATCCCCTCCGTTTACCCCCTCGTCCGCGCACCTCACGCCCGCATTATGGAAGCGCTTTTATGCGGCTTCACTCCAATGCATGGCTGCACAGAGGAGAGGCGCGTCAAGCTACACAGAGAGAGCTGCAGACAAACCGGAAATACTACATATTCCCTTCAAAATAAAAGCAAATGACAGGTGTTCGCTTTAGATAACAGTGACAGCTCCACTTTTAAGTTGCCTGTTTCTTTAAAAAATCTGTTCCCATATAACCACTGGTTATTTCATCAAAACTGTTAGTAGGTCAAAGTATTTTCCAGTTGTTCCATGTGTATTCTGCGAATCTGCTGATTTCAGGTCACTTTCACATAAAGGAGAAAAAGTGAAAACTCAGATTTGAGGGAATATATTCCCTCAAATTCAATGTCAAATTGTCATGTCAAATTCAAGCTTTCTTTTGAAACACTTCATTCTTGACCTTGGAATCAGCAGCTTACACAACAATCTGCCCACAAAGTCTATATAGTAGCAGATCTAGAGCTTTTGATCATGTCACATGATCTTCTGCATCAAGATGGAGTTTGCTCAGTCGTCCTAGAGGTTGCATATGTTTATATTTCCAAATTTCTGAGTATTTTAAGGACTTCATGCCCTGTTGGTTTCAAAGTTTAGTTTGAACTTTCATCTGCTGAGGATAGCACCAGAGACTGTTTCGTTAATAGCTTCATTTTGTTCATTGTATCTATTTACTTATTCAAAACACAGGCCTGTTTGTAATCAGAATAATCTGATTTGTGTAATACCTGATCTAATACCAAGTCTCTTATTTTAGACACATTATCTCTTGAATGGACCTGAGAGTCATGACAGAAAGGACAGTTATATTCTTCATGAAACAGGTTTTGATTATCTTCTTTTAAATCCCGGGTATAAAGGCCGTGTATAAAGAGATTTCCAAATGGTGGAAAGATCGGTCTTCGTAAGCAAATTTGTTTTGTAATAATCAGCAATTACTGTTAAATAAACTGAAAGTGCAGGGTTGCTCCTGCATTTTTACCTGATCTTGATTAGTCGCTGTCTTGAGAGAAACCCTGTGTTAAAATCTAGTTTGTCTGTTTCTTTTCTTATACTGGATAGCTGGCAGTGAAGAGACGACAGAAGTTGAGGGGGAAAGGATGGGTAATGACATGTAGCAAAGGTCCTTGGCTGGACATGAACTATTTGGTCAGCACATTAACCCCTAACTCACCAGACTGTCACCAAAATGTATTTCTAATACTTTTAATATTGCAGTAATACTTCATTATGCTTACATGGTGCATATTCTTAAAGAAATGTGTTTTTGGTCAAAGTGACAACAGGGACCCAGTTAGTAGATATTTAGATTTTTATTTCATTTAAGTTGCTACACTGGATTTTAAAAACCCACTCACGGTGGGCATGATAAACTAAGTCAAGTGCAAACCAGGCCGTTATTTTTGAAAACCCCACCGGATGTGACACCTTGAATTCTGTCCGACTTGACGTTTGGACAGATGCGTAGGGGATCTCCTGTCAAAGACAAATAAGAACCTGTCGAGCAGCCAAGTTTGACATCGTCCAACAACCGTTGTATTTCTTTTTCATAACCAGCTGTCTCCCCCGAGTGTCTGCGTCTGCTGCACTCTCTGTATGCGCCATTTACGCACACGCCCCGCGTGTTTTTTTGGCGCAGCGCTCCTGACGCTTCAGCGCGCTCTAGAAAGGGGACAGATTATTTTAAGGGTCTCAGCTCAGGACAGCTGGGGAAAGGAAAGAAACAGCGAAGCATTTTTTAATGAGCATAGTTGGTAAATTTAAAGTTTACAAAAAGTTATCCGAGAATCTTTATTGTACATTAAATAAAGAGACCTACAATTTGTTTCTGGAAGTCGTGGTTAGTGTTTTTCTTTTTAAACCTGTTTTTCTTCAATCGAAATTATGTTCCCACGGGACGTCGGTGACTGGCAGAGAGAGAACATCTCAAGACTATTTATTTTGATGAGGCAACTTAGCAACACAAGGGACTTACCTACGCCCTTTCCGTGACGTCTATGAAGATATATCTGAGATTTTCAGTCACTGGCACACAGACAGAAACGGTCTGATCAGTGCCGAGGTCAGTGAAGGCACCACAGTATGTGTGATCCTCTGAGTCACTGTTATCCTCTGAGAGACAGAGTCGCAGGGAAATAAAGACAATCTGCAACACGAACCAAAGTAAAGGAAGATAAATATCACAGCAGTCACGTTGCTTTCAGATGAGCTAGTTAACGCTGCAGTGACTGTTTCTGTTCAGCAGGGGGAGCCACACACATCACCGCATAGATAGATAGATAGATAGATAGATAGATAGATAGATAGATAGATAGATAGATAGATAGATAGATAGATAGGTAGAAATAATATTATAAAGAGAAGGGCTATACCTGTTCTATTTGGAAAGTGCCTTGAGATATCTTATGTTGTGAATTGGCGCCATACAAATAAAAATTGACATGACTAGATAGATAGATAGATAGATAGATAGATAGATAGATAGATAGATAGATAGATAGATAGATAGATAGATAGATAGATAGAGTAGGAGTGTTTGGTTTGTGCATTTCAACACAGAAAAATAAAGAGCACAGAAGCCTGTTGAGCCACTGTAATTACATTTTGCTGGCTTCAGAGCGTCTGGCGCTACAACCACAGGCTTCAGAGTGTCTGATTACACCAGTTTGTGGCGATGATGACAAAGTACAGTTGCTTGTTTAAGGTTGCCCAACACGCTGAAATGGTTTGTTTGGTTTTTTGTGACACCTGTGAAATATTGAAGCCCCTTCATGCCAGAAGAAAAGTTGGTCATTGAAAGTCAAAGTCGTTAGATACTGAGTCATACACTTGTCTTATGTAGTATTTCAAAATTTGTACTTAATATCTCATATTTTCGACTTATTAAGTCTTAGTTCTAACCACTCAGTATGTCATATTTCTGATATAGTAATTCTTAAGTTTGGTGTATTGGGCCTATTATACTTTAGACTTAAGTCATAGGTTTGACTTTGTATCTCATATGAGGTCTTAGTAAGTCCAGAGTTTTACTAAACAACACTAAACATGACTTAGTAAACCGTTGACTTTGTATTTGACTTTATATTGCATTGTTCTTATTTAATATCTCATAATTTCTATAGAAGTCATAATGTTATAAGTCACAATTTTGACTGAGTGTCTCCTATTGTTGACTTAGGACTGGAAGTCTTAGTTTTGACTAATGCCAGGTCAGATGACGCAATATTTTTTAATGATATGATGGTCTTTGTGTCAAATTAGGCAATTATAGAGTTAAAAAATTCTTGCCGTGACTTGGCCAAAAGATATGACGGACTACAAGTTGGTACCCAACAAATCAGCTTCTACACTGACATATCACAAGGTGCCAGGGAGCAAGTTTAGGGAACAAGAATGTAAACACAAAATGGAAAAGTGTTATTTGTGATACTGGCTGTCTTGTGTCTCATGGACACATCAAAATGAGGCAGGAATGTTGTTGCCATAGCTCCACTAACCTTTCCTCTGTTTCACAGTTACACCTTGTAGCATGAGCACCGACATCATCATCATTCCTCTTTCACTTAGCCATGTTTACAGTTGTACGCGGAGGAGCGCTCTTTGTGTCCTATTGGCCAATGTCACCCAACGTGTTAGTTTAAATATTGATATGGTATTCCATAATTTCAACTCACTATCTATAACTTCCCTATTTTTTAACTTTGTAAGTCCTTATTTACACTCACTATTTCACACTTTTACTTTTTACTTTCTTATTTCACATTTTTGACACAGTATCATTTGATTTAGTGAGTCAATTTCCACTCAGTATCTCATAAATATATTTAGCAAATCATAATTGTGACTTAAATTTTCAAATTTTAATCTCACTAACCAGAGTTTTCTCATTTTTTACATGAATATTAATCTAGTTAATTTTTCTTTTCTTGGCAGACGTGAGCTTCCATACAAGGTAAGGTATTCATTTGCAGTGGATGTCTTATAGTTCCTTCTCTAAAAGAAACAAACAAAAAAAAAAAAAGCAGACAAGGTTGCCAGACAAGAATACACACCCAGTCTTCAGCATGTGAGTCTCACAGTTCAATGAAAGGAGTGGAATACACAAACAGCAACTGCAGAAACCAAAACGAGGGAGAGAAGCGTGTCCACATGGCCAGCTGTATGAAGCCATGATATCAAATGTCAAGAGTTAGATTGGAGGTCATTAAATTACGTATTTTTTTTAACATGATGCAACCTGGAGGGTTTAGCCTAAAAGTTATTATAGACCAGTTAGTGTAACCTCTAATTTTGTGCAGTTTCACCACAATTTGCCATGAGTAAGAAACCCGGAAATAGAGAGACGTACGTGGGGGGGATGGACCTCTTGAGTGTGTGTTAGTGTAGAGAGAGAGAGAGAGAGAGAGAGAAAGAGAGAGAGAGTAAGAGAGTGAGTAGTACTCCAATAGGCACCCGTGGGAATAAGCTCACATCCAATCCCCAGGCTGCCCGTTGATTCAATCTTACTCATTTTGGGAATATCGATCCGGTTTGATCAATATACGGACACCTTTCGATAAACTTCGCGCCCTCCGCAGCATCCTATCTCGCTTTTTATTAGCCGGATAAGATGGTAATAACGCAACTGACGTCCCCTGCGGTTCATTCATAAGTGGTGACAAGTCGTCCTCTGGCCCTGGATGTGCGACAGGTCGGGCGAACAGGACGAGCTGCGGGAGGAATACAAATTGTACTTGTGTGTGAGAAAACGTCCGGCGAAGGACCATGAGTCAGGCCGCCGATGTGGAGCGTTAAAACCGAGAAGATTTAGTGTTTTCCCGCTGTCCACCACCAGCTAAAGTGAGGGTCCAAAGACTTTAAGCAGCGTGTGTGTATGTGTGTGTGTGTGTGTGTGAGCTGAAGTCAAACAGAGGGATGACAGTCAAACTGGACTTCGAGGAGTGTTTGAAAGACTCCCCGCGCTTCAGGTAAGAGTTTCACCTGTTTCACCTTACTCATTGTTAAAGTCAATGGAGTTGCGGCTGATCTATGATTTCCAGCAGTAACTTCCCCCCCTCAAAATCACCTTTCCTTTAGTTTGCTGAGCTTAAAGTAGCTCTACAAAGGCGGATAAACTCTCTTCTACTTATAAAACAACATATAGTTCTATTTGTACCATTTACCATTCATTTACAGGCAGGTACAGTGGCGTCATCTTGTTTCTGTGGCTTTTCAACCCCCCCCCAAAAAAAATATTAACTTCAGTCAGTTTCAGCTGCTGGCCAATGAAAGGAATGTGGCATGCAAACTTGCAGGGCTGAAAAGACTGATCACAGGTCGGATAAGGTCTGATGTGTCATTGAACCACAGGAAGCTTGTATCAACCCTGGAAATTCAATATCATACTCATTTGTTACAAACTCACAAACACTCTTGATATCCCCCATGTATGCACGACTTAATAGTTTACTTTAAGCTCGTAAAACCTCTTTTAAAAAGCCTTTAAAGTTCCTAATCAAGGTGCCATTGTGCATGGTCAGCCATGATGTACAGTCAGTTTAGTTTCAACACAGAATCAGCATCTGGTGTAAGGGGCGAAAGGGAAGTGTCACTGAGTTGGTTTTGCAAGCAGCTTCGAGAGAATTTGACAGAGCTTGGGTGTGCCCAGATAGTTTTTGGCATCCTGCCTGTGGCACAGTGGCTGGTGTCATCTCCTCCAGCTGATTTGGCATGTTTCAGTCCTGGGTCTGGGCCTCTCTTTCTCCCTGTCCCTCTTTCTCTCTCTCTCTTTCTCTCTCTCTGTCTCTCTCTGTTGCCTGTATTGAATTCATGAGGCCTGCACAGTGCTGGAAAGTTTGAGCTGTGGCAGCTGCAGCGGCGAGGTCTCGTGTCAGGCCGAGAAGCAGAGGGAAGGAACGGCGGAAAAGGGAAGGAAAGGAGGGAGAGGGAAGGCCAGAGTTATCACACACGTAAACACAGTCAATTAAACGGATAAACAGGGAGAATGAAGGAAAACAGGGGACAGAAAGCTGCACTGACAACGCCGGACAGCCACTCAAATGTGCTGCCTCCTGTTGCTAGGTAACGATGGGGGTGGGAGGGCAACAGGAAGTGAGGCGCTGATGTGCTGAGGTGATCAACAGGAGAGACAGGAAGTGTGTTTTCTGTGGGGAGAACCACGGCGGAAACTTAGCTTTAGCTCTGTCTTAATTTGCTCTCTTACTCTCTGTCTCCAGTGCATCCGAAAACTGTGACACTAGTTCAGGGAGAAATGAAAAGGACGTGTCTCTTTAAGAGAGGAATCCTTTTATCTGCCTCTTCTTGGCCCTTTTTTCAGTCTTCCCTCTCTTTTCCATCCCTCTCTCCTTAGCTGACTTGTCATTTGGTCGTATTGCAAGAAGGCATGACCTCAGGCTTTGATTCAAACATCCCCGCACTAACAAACACAGAAACACAAACAGTTACTGTCTGTCTAGGCCCTCCTCTCTCTTCTCTCTCCACTCAGTCTCGCCTCTTTTTCTCTTTTTTTTTTTTTTCTTCCTTTCTCTCTCTCTTTCTCTGTGTCTCTGTACTGTTGGTGGAAGGCAGCGGAAACCACATGGTTGAGCTCTTGGTATGTGAAGAGATGAGAGACAGAAAGAGATACTGACTGTCACACCAAAAACTGACAAACTAGCCACGCACAGGACGTCTGAGGCGCTTTTGTGCACATGTGTGAGATGAATGAGGAGGCCGACGTTTGTACACGGAGGGAAAAACTTAATCAATTAGATACTCGGGAGTAAAAAGACTGGATGTTTTGTCTGTAGGCCTACACACAAACTCATTTCAAATTCTACTCAAGGTCACAAAACTGCTAAAAATACCAAATATGTCGAGCTCAGTCACAATGAAGCAAGTATAAAAATATGCACATGACCTGAAATATGTGGCGTAATGAATCAAAGTAACGCTGCAGCTTCATTTTGACATCAAAACAACAAAACAAACAGTGTTGTATGAAAACTATTTTAACTGTTGTGGAAGTTTTGAGGAGGTGCAACAAATCGATTGATCTGTTGATTATTTTTTTAATTTATCGATTCATTCATTTTACTTATCAATGGTTTATTTAAAAGAGAGAGTGTACACGAATAAACATGAAAGAAAAACAAGAGAGTAAACATGTCATACGAGACCTTGTAATGCTACGCTGTTGGCTTTGAATTAAAACATGCAACAGAGGCAATGAAATGTGGAACATTCATGATAATGGAAATATGTTCTGAAGAAGCATTTAGTCAATAAAATGTCTGAAAACTCCCATTGCAAGTTGCCAGAACCTGAGTTGGCAACTTCATACTGCTTGTTTTATCCAATCAAGAGTTTTTACCAACTTTACTGTCACGTAAAAGAGAGAAAAGCAGCATTTGTTTGCCACATGTGCTTGATAAATGACTTAAACAATTAATTGTTGATTGAAATCCTCCACTGATTTTCCCTCTATTGTCTCAAAGATTAATGGACTAATCATTTCAGTACTAAAATCACCCTGACTTCAACTTCTTCCAAACTCACCACATGTTTGGCACTGACCTCTCTCCATAAAATGTAACAGGAATATCTCTAGTGTTCATGTGTTACTCTAAGTGGATTTATGGCGACCTTTGACACCAAGATCCTGTGTATGACTCTGTGTGTTTGCCTGTTTCAGAGCGGATATCGAAGTCGTCCAAAACGATGTGAGCGAACTTGAGACAAGACTAGACAAGGTGAGATACATCACCCCTTACACCTACACCCACTTTTATAACACCATCCTGAGTCAGTGCTCTCCAACACACACACACACACAAACAAACAAACAAACACGCACGTACGCACACACACACACACACACAGGTATCAGTTGTTGATGGAAACATGCTCCTCGTGTTTGGAGGCAGTGAAGTGAGAGATTGGTGGCGGTGGTTTAGGTGCATTTAACCTGAAATAGATCAGGAAGTAGCTTCAGGTGCGGCTTCCCCATCGTATTGTCCTGCAGCAGAGAGAACTACAGCTTGTTCTGCTTTGATGCGATAACCCATATTCCCCATTACGTATTTGTGCTCAAACATGTTGCAGTTTCAGATCTATTCAATTCAGAGGTTGCATGCCGTGTTTCTGTTCCCTGATGATACTGAACAAACATAAATTAGGATGCAGTGCCACTCTGTGCTGTTTATGGCTCTGCAGGGCAAGTTTCTATCTGTTCCATGATTTATCAAATAACAAAAAAACTGCATGGAAATAAACTGCAAGTCCTAAACATAGCATCTGTTTTATTTAACTTTCGCTGCAAAGCCTCAGACATGCGAGTGATTAATGTGTGGCAGCAGGGAGACATAGTGATTTAGAAAAACTGGACTAACTGGGTTCAAGCCCCTCAGGCAACTTTTATCTCCTCCTGAGCAAAAAACTGACTGTACGAGCTCCAGTGTTGCTGCTCCGTCGCTGAACTCTGACCCTACTGTCAAAGAAACAGAGAGAGAAATCTCCCCGCATGAGTACCAGACGTATTACTGTGAGATTAGATTAAAAAAAAAAAAAAGTAATCCTGTTCTGCTGCAATGCTGGACTGTATCACGCTGTAACAAGCCTGATCTGAGGACAGATTAAAACATAACGTTTGAATAAAGTTCTTTCGATCATCTCAAATGTAAAAGTAACAGTTGGAATGAAAATTCCTGCATCCAAAATGTTCAAAATGGCACTTAAGTAAAAGTAAAGTATTAAAGAGTTATACTGCATGGTGAGAACTTTGATTAAATTTAATGTTGGTCTAGGTTGAGCTAGCTCTAACTATTTTATATACTGTTGGATTGTTTAATCTATGTGTTAATTGTCTATGTATCAACATAAATATCTTATAAAATGTGTCATATTTTATAAGATAATCGTATGTTTTGTACGTAAAATCTTGATCTGCAAAGTTGCTCTACCTGTAAGATAAAATGTAGTATATGTTTAAGTACAATACTTCCTTTTACTAAGGAAGTACTGGAAAAGTATAAAGCAGTATAAAGGATGGAAATGGACATACTCATGTAAAGGACAAGTACCTCAAAACAGTACTTGAGTTAAGATCAGGATGTAGTCTGTGGTGTGGTTGGTGCATTTTACAGAGTTTTCAGTGTGTTTCTATGATTTAGCATACCCTCATAGACAGAATAATAATGGACACCTGTTGACCTGTAACTAAAGCTTCCTACAGTTGAATCAACACCTCTCTAAAACAATCTCTACAAAAACTGAGCATTATAATCTTCATGAAGGTAGGATTTGTTGTATTAAAGTGGATTTATTTTAGCTCGATGTGCATAAAAAACTGGTAGCTGAGGCGATATCTGCTGCCCGGTAGAGAGTGACTGATGTATTAACAGGCTGTTACTATCACCGACATATTGGCCTGTTGTATCTTGTCACATATGTGTAGGTTCCTCTTTTCCTGTTTTCAATTATTTCTGAATATGAGGGAATAACGATGTCACCAAGCTCAGTGTAGCAATAGAAATGATAAAGCATAACAATAGCACAAGAGGAGGAGACTCATAAAGTCAGTTCAGTTCAGTTGCAAAGTTGCAAAGCAATATCTGCAGTTTGCTAACATTAGCTAACATTAGCCATCATAAGCTACTGGCAATAGCAGGACATACTGAATTGATTAAGAGAGTGTTTTATTGCCTTATAATTTACATTTTCATTTATAAGAGGAAGAATGCATAATTAGTTCTTTCAAAATACTCAGTGTAACCTTAAGCACAGTGTGTACATGGTCACACAGAAGAAGAGAGGCCTAATCAGGCACAAGTGGAACAAACCTGTGTGGGTTGGTCATGGTTGTGTACTTGGCTGCAGTTTCAGCTTTTATTTTTGCTCAAGTCAAGTTAAATCTATTTTTTGTTGTAATTTTTTTTATTTATAGGTAATTCAAAGCTGCACTAATCATTTTTGCAGGATCAAATGAATGGTAATCCCATTATTTTGTTGGTTTTAAGCACCTTACAACAGTTAGCTAGCAGCTAGCAGCTAGCTTACAAACACAGTGGAGCATTTAGCAGCTGAAGAGCCAGTTATTTCCCTCAGGAGTTTATGGAGACCAAATTGATCTAAATAAATATTAGACCTACTTTTATGGCCAGTAACATGACTCCAAATGAGAGTTGCCATTGTTCTTTGCCTGCTATATGTTTGCTAACACTTCAGCCATAACAACTTTAGGAAGTGTGGTTAGTTTATAGCTTGTTCTGCCTCTTCCATGTGGCCAAAATAATCAATGAATGTGGCTATAATTTACTTTTTTTTTTTTTTTTTACTAGAAATTACTGTTTAAAGCTCAAACTGTCATGTTGTATGTGCAGTCATTTTGTATATCTGTAAATGTGTAAGATATCTTGAGTACAGTACATATACCGAGCCTTTAAAATCAACTCTACTGCAGTTTAAAGAACTCTGGTCAGTATTTAACAGCAGCTGTGGGTTATTATATTCAGTAGTCACAGTGATTACATTAAATTTGAGTAACTTCTCACTCAGACTGTTTCATTGCTTTAATGGTTGGTCTCCAGGAATAACTCCTCATTATGTTTAATTATTCATACTGATTATGACCGGCCGTTAGTTGCCTCAAGTGCTCCTATTTGAAGTGTCCAGGATGAGTGTGATATTTGACTGTGGTGTTGCATGTCTGTGTCCTGCAGCTTGTGAAACAATGCCAGGCCATGCTGGAGGCAGGCAGAGTCTACTGCCAGACCAGCAAGAGCTTTGTCAACGGCCTCCGGGAGCTGGGACCCCAGTGCTCCGGGGACAATATGATGGAGGTGAGAGGAGCATACCGACATACCAGTCATCAGGGAGTTATTTATACACTAATGTTATCTCCCATGTAGTGTTAAACCGACATTTCCCCATTAAGATTGTGCCGTGTGTTCAAGGAAAATGCTTTTCAACTTGTATGCATATCTGGAAGATGCTCATTTTATTTTTTTTGAGTTGAGTGATTTGAACTTGAGAGCACTTACAGAAAGGGTTGTTTTAGATGAAAAACATGAAAATTGTTGATAAGATTTGATGAAATGTAGAGTCTAATCTAAGATCACTGTCGTGCAGGAGTGTTTGGGCACATTTTCCAAAAAGCTGTCTATTATCTTGGAGGCGCAGGGGGTGAGTAATGTCTGTCTTTTTGTCAGGCTTTTGATTTACTGTCTCTGTACACAGTTTCCATTGCAGTCATGACGCTTATCAGCTGCAGTATGTGGTCAAGCAAGGTTGCAGCACGTCGTTGAATGCATTACATTTGACATTTAACAGTTCTCTGTGCTCACTGTAGTAGATTTGTCTCTCTCCTTTTCCCTGCTAGGAAGTGATTGAGACCACACAGAAGTCAGTCAAGACAAAGCTGCAGACCTTTGTGAAAGAGTGAGTGAGCCGCTTTGGCGGCCTTCCCTGTTTATTTCACCTAGTCTTTTTGTATTTGGTGCATTTCTCCCACAGTGTAATTCATGCACTTCTTCAGACTGAGTCACTCCTCTGCATGTCTGCCAGCCATTAGCCCACCGCATGAAAAAAATATTTGAGGCTTATGATCCGTAATTTTCCTTCTCCTCATACTTTGTCTTGCATTCTGCTCTCATTAGCAGGAATGATATGGTAGATTAGATGAGAGAGAGGATGTGTGATAGCATGTGACAGTAGGACATTAGCTGAATTTTTAGCCAGTGACACATTTTGAATGTGGTTTGAGCTGCTAGCACGTCTGCACTTTTCTCATCAAATACTTGGTGGAACACACAAATGCTGACACTGTTTTCTTCAAGCAAACTTTACTGAATTCAAACTATATAATACCAGACAAAAAACACATGAATAATACATAACATAACTGCATTTATCCCCACTCCCCACCTACTCAGTCTGTCAAAGCTTAATGAAAGTAACAGTGCTAATATAATTTTGCACGATATAATACAGAGTGATATGACAGAAAAACTATAATGAGAGCCCATTATAACCGCATATAATGTGGTTATGCAAAACTGAAACAGTACAGAAAAATACATAGAATAAATATTTGAAAGTATATTATATAATAAGGGTCTTAGATTTGAAGGGGGACTGGAAACCTTAAAGAACAAACTTGTATGTCTTCTCAAAATAACTTGTAAACCTGATGCTATTTATAATTCATTTTCCAGTGTCCCCCTTTAAACTTACCACAAGACAGTAACTTACTTTTTTGGTCCTGAATCAGCCCATAACTTGCTTCTGCTTTTGTACTGAAACAAAATGTAAAAAAAGAAGGCTCATCTGTAATTTCTTTAACAGCCTGATTTCACAAACTTATTTGTTAAGTGGAAACTGAATACACATGTGAACAGAATGATTAAACCAAACCCTCTTTTCTACCCTTATTGTCCTCCAGAGATGTTCGTCGGTTCAAAGATGTGCGCAAGGAGTTTGAGCGCAGCAGTGAAACCCTGGAGGGGGCGCTGGCCAGAAATGCTCAGGCGCCACGGGGGAAGCAACATGAAGTGGAGGAGGCGAGTCATGCTCTGCTCAACGCACGCAGGACCTTTCGGTCTGAGGCCTTGGACTATGTCCTGGAGGTGAGAAAAAAGGGATGAAGGATCTCTCATCTCTCGTTTTCTCTATGTCTCATTATTAATTCATTAACTTGCACTGTGTGTGTTTGTGTGTGCGCATAGAAACATAGATATGCAGGGTAGATTACATATGTGAGAAAATAACATCTGATTATAGTTGTGCCTTTGCTGTTTTAAATGACAACAAGTTTGCCTCGAGGCTTCTCTCCAGGCTTGTGGTTGTGGCTCGCAGCAGTTTCACTGGCCACTGAGTTTTTGGTCATGGAAACATGAAGTTTCTGAAACCACTGCTTCCTTATGTTTCAGATTAATGTCATTGAGGCCAAGAAGAAGACAGACATTCTGATGGCAGTGAGTTCACGTTGACCTATTTTAAGTCCATCTTGTGTTTTTGTTGGTATATTGTGTCTGTATCTTTAATGTAAAACCGTACTGTGTGTCTTTATGGTTTATGGGTTTTAGTTTTTTTTTTTTGCTGGTTTTGTTGAGGGTGTTCTCGTAAACGTTTTCTCGTGCTCCCTGTCAGATGTTGTCGCTGATGGAGGCCCAGGCACAGTTCTTCCAACTAGGTCACCAGTCACTGTCAGAACTGGACGACTATCGACGGAAACTGAATGAAGAGGTAACAGCTCGTTAGAGCCCCACTGACTTAATTTCCTTTGTTACAACTTTATTTCACTTGCAAATCATCTAGCAGGCATGTGAGGTGCCAACATGCCGATCAAAGACAAGAAACTGGCTCTGCACAAATCACAAAAAGGAAAAACAGACACTTAACCTTAGGGCAACTTGTGTTCAGTGCTTTCATTGTGCGAGGAATAATCTGGAAATCTGGAAGCAGGGGGAAACAGCTAACCTAGCCTAGTTCAAAGGCTAGCTAACGGTTCCCCCAGTCTTTTTGGTAAGCTAGGCTAATTGACTTCCAGCTCTAGCTCAGTACTCAACTCACTCTCAGCAAGAAAGTGAATAAACATCCTTCCCAAAATGTCAAACTATTCGTTTAACTAACTCTAAATTTGGAGAAAACCGTAGCATAAGGTTTTTGGCTGTCAGTGACGTTCCCATGACCTGAGCACCTTCTTTTCAAGGAGTGAATACCGTTGTCGCAATGTGATGAAAGGCAGCTATTTAGGCTGGACCTGGGAGAGAGGAGAGGAATGCATCTCCGGTTCAATGTAAATGGCGTCTCTAATCACTTTTTGCAATGGCAGACTTGCTAGCTAATGCTACTACTTTTAGCTTTCACCAGGCTCACTTAAGCTAGCTGGCAGAGACAGAGTTAGGTGACCTTTCATCTTGCTGGGCTGATTTTTTTTCACTACACGCACCAATTTACCATTGCACTGCACAGATCACATATATACCTCGCCGAGACCAACTTGGGGTGAGGACCCACCCAGGGGGTTGTAAGATAAATCTGAGGATTAACAAGATGATTACACACAATTCTGTCTTTGTGTGTTTTTATACTTCTCTAAACTTTGCCTTTTCCTCGTGAAATGTTTGATAGTGTGCCTCCCATAGCCTCCAACAATTATTCAAATGAAACACAAGCCAGAATCTTCGGAATAACTGCAGTTAGTGGCGCCAATCTACCATAAAAGTTGAAACGTGCGAGTTAAAGAGGAGAAGGCGTACACAAGCTGATGAAATCAATGCAGGTTTCAAAGACTAAAAAGAGGTTTTGCAGACGGATTATGAGGCAGGAAATGGACTCAAAATGTGAGGGATATACAACATATCAGTAAGACCTGTTGAAACCATGTTTGTATACAATAAAACACATGATATCTTTAATGTTAGTAGATGTTGTTTGTGTGAATTGCATCAGACGTTTTTTTTTTGCATCTTTCTGGGGGGCGTGGTGGTTGAAGAGTCACGAGCTGACATCACACTTTCATTGTGACAGGAAAAAGTGAGCAACAACAGGAAATATTTCACATGTCTGTGTGTCTGTGTCTGTGTGTGTGTGTGTGTGTGTGTGGATTTGTTTTATTATATTTAAAGGGTCCGAAAACTGGGAGCCCACTGTACTTGTGGGGTCCAACATGTTTGTGGGGACCGAAACGGTATACCCCCACATTTAAATGTCTGTGTGATAGTTAAGACTTAGTTTTAGGGTTCAGTTTATAATTAAATTGATTCGGGGGTAGGGTTAGTCCTTCATTTGTGATGGTTAGGGTTTATTCCTGCCTCTTGACTGTGGAAAAACATTTTTCTACAGCCAACCTTGAACATTAGCAGTCTTATTATTGTTGACTGTTTTTTGTTGTTTTTTGATAAATGAAAAGAATTTGAAACAGGAAATGAATATGTCAGCAATCACTGGCCAAATCAAACCACAGCAAAGCTCTTCCTGTTTCAACAGGAAATGACAGGAGCAAGAATAAGCAGATGAGTCAGAAAGATGGAGAGACAAGGAGGAATAATACACTGAACAGACGCTCTAATAAGAGAGACCACCAGGGTTGTTTCTCAGTTTGTCACAGGATGTTCAACACTTCCTAATTCCTGTTTCCTGAAGAGTCTGCAGGAGTGATAACCTGCCTCGAACCTGTTGATCTCTCTCCATGTCTGAATTTCTCACACGGGCAAACATGTCAGAGAGGGCAAGAAAAGGAAAAAGGGGAAAGTTTTCAGGCAGAAAAGACAGGACAACTAAACAGACACAAATAGAAAAAAAGTCTTTTAGGTTAAATAAAAAAAATCTATTTCCACATTGGGTTTTAACCCCAGAGTTTGTATTCGGCCTACTGAAGCATCTTTTGACAAAGTACTGAATCACTACCTGTTTTACTTCACTGACTTCACTTAAACTGCAAATCAGTAAATGTTCCATGAAACTTAAAAGATTATACATGAGAGATCTTTGATGCTGGCATCTCGAAGAAGAGTTAATTGAGTGAAATGCATTATGAGAGTTATTATGAGCGGAGTAATATGTACATCATTTAAAAAAAATCAATAGTGGTGTCTGGAGAATGACCGCTCTCTATTTCTGTTTCAACAGCACACTCAGTTCGTCCTGAACTCGGCCAGAGAGAAGAGGGACATGGAGCAAAGACATGCTGCCGTCAAGAAAAAGGTAATAAAGTTAAACTGTTTAAACATTTAGAAGAACACCTTTGGATACATCCTAAAAATCCTGTCACACCTACAACTAAAGGTGTCCAATCCCTTCCTTGTAATTTGACAAACACACAGTGATTTGTCTTTTTAAAATATTTTGTAGGATGTGTCCTACGATGACTCCATCATGGATTTCAATGCTGATGCAGCTAATGGGATCGCCATGGAAGGATACCTCTATAAGAGAGCCAGCAACGCCTTCAAGACCTGGAGCAGGTACAGGTTTTACCCAACTACGTTATCTCAGATGATTTTCTCCCTCCACTGATCTCACTTAAAAGAGCTTAAATGTCCACTCAATTGGAAACTGTGCTGTGTGTGTGCATGTGTGTGTGTGTGTGTGTGTGTGTCCACTATTTGTCTTTTCCTTTTGTGCTTAAGCAACAATGAATCCAAAGGACTTCATGACCTTTTCATTTTCTTTCTCTACTCCAGACGCTGGTTTTCAATTCAAAAAAATCAGCTGGTGTATCAGAAGAAATTCAAGGTATACTTTAAATAAATACCACTATTTTTAAAATGCATTGTTTTTTTTTAAATAATCTCCTCAGAAGCGTGTATAGCCAAACTCAGAACAAAGAGGTTTATTTATACAAAGACTTGCACATATAAGCAAACACAAGCGCAGTCTGACCTGCATGTTTTTCCTGTGCGCTCTCAGGACCAGCCCACAGTTGTCGTGGAGGATTTGCGTCTTTGCACAGTCAAGCCCAGCTCCGAAAACGAGAGACGGTTCTGCTTTGAAGTGGTCTCCCCGTCAAAGTGAGTTTGCGTGGGTGAACGTGTTCATGCGTATGTGTGTTTGAGTGATGGTGCATCCTGCAAAGTGAGTTTGTCAAAATTTGTCTATGTCCGTTTCTCATGTACACAGAAATGAGGTGATCACAGTGCGTGTGTGTGTGTGTATGTGTGTGTGTGTGTGTGTGTGTGTGTGTGTGTGTGTGTGTGTGTGTGTGTGTGTGTGTGTGTGTAGGTGTTGTCTGTTGCAGGCGGACTCAGAAAGACAGCAGCAAGCATGGATCAGTGCCGTCCAAAACAGCATCGCCTCAGCCTTCCAGGAGCGCAGAGAGGACCCACACAGCCCAGTGAGAATACACACCTACACACAAACACACAACCAACACACACACACACACACACACACACACAAACACTGCCTTCTATATCTGCATTTCTCAGTGGGAGTTTAATCCGAGAAGGTACAGAGGAAGTTGCATACCTTTGTGTGTCCTCATTCCTGTATCTGTGTGTGTGTGTGTGTGTGTGTGTGTGTGTGTGTGTGTGTGGTTATCAGAGACAGCGCTGCAGCTCGATGTCGACGAGCACTTTGGCAAGCGGGGGAGGAGGAGGAGGCGCAGATCAGGAGAGCGAGGGCTACAAGGCGCTGGAGGAGGTTCAGGCGATCCCGGGGAACCGGCAGTGCTGCGACTGCGGAGAGCCCGGTCCTGATTGGGCCTCCATCAACCTGGGCATCACACTTTGTATTGTCTGCTCAGGGATACACAGGTACACACACACACACGTATACACACACATATATACACGCACATACACACGTTTGGCTTGAAACCTGAGTTTGAATAGTTTTCCTGTGTAACAGGAGCCTGGGAGTCCATTTCTCCAAAGTGCGCTCCCTGACTCTGGACTCCTGGGAGCCAGAGCTCATTAAGGTAATTTAACCATTTAACTACAACTGCTACACAACCTCATTATTGCCTTTTTCTGTGTCAACACAAAGTTCCAGTGAGAATGATGATGCATTATGTTATTTCTGTGCTGTCTTTAGTTGATGTGTGAACTAGGAAACACAGTAATCAACAGGATCTACGAGGCCCGGATCGATGAGATCACCATCAAGAAGCCACATCCGTCCAGTCCCAGGTACGAATCATCAATACTGTCCAACGTGCAGACGTTAAAGGGCCATTCCAATGATTTTAGACGTGCAGTTCACTTTACACACTTTACACACGCATGAAAGTACAACTCAGGCTGTGAAAACTCAGGCTTGAGGGTACACATCTGCGTTGAAGGATGTCGGCATTTACCAGGCAGGAAGGAGCTAATGAAAAGATGCTTTTGGTTGCATTGTGGGAAATGTAACCCAGTGTTTCTTAACGTTGAGCCACACCAGAGGGTAAAAGTCAGGATAACTCAGCCTCTGTTGCTTCAGTCTTGACCACTCTTATTTCAACATCTTTTCGAAGTCGCTTTATAGAACTTTATAGAAGTGCAGTACTAAATGGGTGGACTACCCCTTTAAGTCGGGAGAAACGAACAAGGAATGAAATAAGAACGGCCAAGGACATAAGATTTCTAGATTAATTTATTCCGCATGATACATTTTTATTTTCTGTCACTCGTCTGAGATTTAGTTTTCTTTGCGAACATGTGGCCTAAATTACAATTTATCATCTCAATATGCTAATTATGAGGCCGTCAATCAAACGCTTCGCTTCGCCGGTCTGTGTCGCAGCATCAGTCTCAATTCGGGTGGCCAAATACAACTTCCACAATAGACATCTTGGCTTATTGAGATATTAGCAGTAGGTCGTCTCATGCTTTGTTAAAAATGAGACGTCAGCTTTGTTTGGTCTTTGTGAAAGCGGTGCACAGTGTGATTACGTTGCAGGAAGAGCGACTGATGTAGTAGCCACTGGCAGTCGAGATGGTCTACCATAGATGGCAAACCACAGATGTGAGAAACCCCGGATGGTTTGACCGATATCTGCCTAAAGCGCATTAAAAGGAAAATGGATGAAGTCACACTTTCACTGGCGCGTTTAAACCACGCTGATTTGGAAAATGATGAATGGAAAACCAAATATGCTGGAGGGAAAATAAATCCTGACGCGAAAGACAAAAATAAATCATGTGGAATTAAATTACATACATACATTGTAATCATGTATTAAAATGTATTTATTACTCGATTGCTTTGGACAGTTTTAATTGTTTGCCTTTTAAATAAGTCATGTTTGGTATAATGAGACAAGAGTCCACACTTGTACTACAAATCTGTCTTTGATGGAAATTAATTTCAAGGATTAAAGATTTTCTGGCATCATTTATTAAGCTGTTGATACGACGTGACTGTTACTGCAGCTGCAACAACACTCAGAAATCAACAGCAACACGCTCGTCATCTCTTCCTGCTGTTCATCACATGAAGGTCAAATTCTGCCTGTGCACGACATATTTTTACACCGACCGAAGTCTAAGTCGTCACACTCTGATTGTGAGCAGATTTTGCTGCAGCTCTCCACGACTCAGTGATTCAGCGGCTGAGTTTAAAAAAAAAAACGTACCCTCTGCAAAGGGCCATGTGGTTTACAAATGGTTATATCAGCAGCCTGCAACTTTCTTTAGACTTATTTTTTAACTTCCTCTTCTCTCCTCTCTTGTGTCACAGCAGTCAGGAAGTGCCACAGGTACAAGATACAGATGGTTAACATCGTGACTAAAATTGTCCGGAAACTTGTCGTGAGGCTGCATGCTTTCTGCGGCATGAGCTTTCAGTCCTGTCACACATCATTTGATTATTTCAGTGTCGCACTCCTTTTTGAAATATTACCTATTTTGCGGTGTTGTTTTTATTTTTTAGTCACACATGGACGGACCAAAGGCTTCATGGTTCACAGCTGATAAACATGGAGAAATCTGACATTTCTGCTGTAATAAAGAGTAAAGAAGGGAGACGCTGTGTCCTAGATAGACTCCTTTTAACTGAATTTATCACTTAATTAAAAAGACACTCAGTGCCTAAGAGACATGTGTTAAGCATTCATGTTGCACAGCTGTCCAAGCAAGTTGTGGAGTCAAACCGAGAGCAAGTGAAGCCAGAAACATACTGACAAACAAAGCCCTGCATGTAGGCTTCTTTTGTTTAGTTTACGCAGTCATCAGCAGTAAGCACACATTCCTCTCTCCATCTTTCTTTCTGTCTAATCTTTTCGTTTCTGCCCCTCAGAGGAGACAAGGAGTCTTGGATAAAATCAAAGTACGTTGAAAAGAAGTTCATCCAAAAGCTGCCAGAGACCGGACGAAACCCCCCGCTGAGGCGATCCAGCGCCAGGAGGAACCGGGCGGCCACGCAGGAGCGGACCGTACAGCGGCCGCCGCTCAAGCCCAAACCGAACCGAGCCACTCTGCCTCGGGTCACAGGTAAACCATGAGAACGATGGAGAGATGGAAAATCTGTGGGCTGTTAAAGTTCTAATAACTCAGCTGGTTTACTTGTTTGTTGTCTAGTTCACCACTCGCTTACTCCTGCTGATGTTAACAAAACAAGAACACAAACACTCACACAATCCCCAAACTTGGTGATCCAGCAAAAGCAGATAATCCTAAGGACCTACTCTGCTGTATTTATGTGTGTGTGTGTGTGTGTGTGTGTGTGTGTGTGTGTGTGTGTGTGTGTGTGTGTGTGTGTGTGTGTGTGTGTGTGTGTGTGTGTGTGGNTGTGTGTGTGTGTGTGTGTGTATGTGGGTGCTGTTGTTGTGGCAGTCAGCAGAATAAACCTGTAATCGTGGCTCTCTCTCTCTCTCACACACACACTTTCTCTCTCTCTCTCTCCTTCCTCAGGGCTGAGCCCCTGTGACCTTGTCCAAAAGAACAATACAAGCTTTTACAAAGGTAAGATAAAACACCCACACACATACTAATGCATGCATACAGTATGAGCTGGCAAAAACAGGCTTGTACAAGGTGCTTAACATGGACTGTCAAACTAGAACATTTTGAAAAGTGTTACACCACCACATTATATGTATTGAATCTTGAAAGGAGGAAAAGGGTAAAAAGGCCCTAACGTGTCAAAACTTCCTTTTCCCTTTTTGAAAAAGGAGAAATTAACTGTCTGCTCCCCTCAGATGTGGACGAGGAAGAGGAGGATCTGAGCGGACTTCACCCGGGAGCGCTGTTGTACCGATCAGCGGCCCTGCAGAACTTCCCAGTCATGGCCGACGCTTTGGCTCACGGCGCCGACGTCAACTGGGTCAATGTGGCTGAGGAGTCCAGCACACCGCTGATACAGGCCGTCTCAGCGGTGAGGGAGACCACGTCAAATATTACAGGAATATTTATGGACCCCCCCCCAACCTGTCCTCTAGCAACACCTGCAGGCCGTTTTTTACTTGAGTAACATTATGGTGCTCGAGGAGCTATGATGATAGTTGTGAATGTTTAATGTCCCCAGAGGATGAATCCTATTGATTTTTACCACCTGAATTTATTCATTTATCTACTCAGTCACAGTCTTGACTCTTGAGACGGTAAATTATTTAAAAACTGTTTAATTGTTTAAAAACTCTCGTTAGCGTTCCTGTTGCACCGCCCACCAATCAAAATACACTTTGCACTAAAAATATCTCATAATTGACATGAAATTATCTGACCATATTCATGCAGCTAGCAGGATAAACTCTTGGGCTAACCTTAGCATTTTTAGCCTTACACCTGTTACTGTTGTAAAATTATAAGATCAACACTTTTCCCTGCTGCCTTTCTGTGCCACCGGCAGGGTTTTATCATTTTTGTCTCGTTGTGTTAACCTGTTTGGACGAGGAGACAAAGTAAGGAGACGTTCAGAGAGGATCGTGTAGGTTGTGTGTATAAAAATCCAAACAGCATCTCACGTGTTGTCGTGTTTGGAACCAGAACGCCCTGGCAGCCTGTGAGTTCCTGCTGCAGAACAGCGCCAACGTCAACCAGGTCGACAGCAACGGGAGAGGACCGCTGCACCACGCCACCATCCTGGGTCACACTGGGTAGGACACAGTGTCTCAAACATATATACACACACACACACACACACACTCACACATGTGCTGTCACATAGAAGTAACAGTCCCATTTCGCATTGAAAAACTGACAAAAACATGATAAGAGGCTCTTCAGATGCAAAAAGAATCAGTTTCTTCTGTGTGCAAAAAGGTGACATGAGGGCAGTGCAACTTATAAAACCACGTAACTCTGGAGACATTAATAAGCTATCAGACTCACAACAACGGCCAATCAGATGCCTGACAGTAAGACAAAGAATAAAAAAGATACACAACAAAATTACCGCTGTGAATAACATTTTTATCTCATAAACTCAGAGGCTGACACCGCTTGGTTTATCAGACAGAAAGGCAACAGCAGACCAATAAACAGATTACTTTATACACACACACAAAATCTATTTAAGCCTCTAGGCACGGCGCCCAAAGCCACTAAAAGAGCTAAATAGATTCACCTTGTTCTACCAAATGATATTTCAGTGTTGGGTAAAGTGGGAAATCTCAGCAAGTGATGAATTAAATTAATATAGAAGAAACTCCAAAAGAGCCTGCAAGCGCTAATTTAAGACTTTTAATTAGGTTTTTGAATTTATTTTATCTTAAAGCATCACAGAACTGTGTGCAGTTTGACGCTTGTTTTACAGCAACATTTCCACCAAGTAATCTTTGCCAAACGAACGTGACCGTTTGTTTGGCAAATGTTCCTAAAAGGGAGAAAATGTAGATAACATAGAGCCCAGTATTTCACTGTTTATCTGAAAGTTGAAGCTGAATCTGGCTCCAATCTCCCCGCGCCTGAGTCAGATTGCTGAGCGCTGCTGTGGTGCACGTCTGGTTTGAGCGTGACAGTGCATTCAAGGATAAGGTTTATAAAAAAATATAGCGACTGAGGCAAATTTCTGAGTGATCCTGAAAGATCCTATTTGTTCTACTTGTCCCTTTTTGACCAGAGAGGTCCAGGAAGTAATAAGCCACAAGAACCTTTGTCCATTCCTGTGTTTCTACCACATCTGAAGAAATTGATGGATTTTGCAATATTCACACATTATCAAACGACATCACAGAGTCTCTTTTAATGCGTTTCCCTTCTTTCCCAGGTTGGTTTGTCTGTTCTTGAAGCGAGGTGCGGACTACAACGCCAGAGACAAGAACCAGAAAGACCCTATAACTATCGCCGTGGACAACGCCAACGCCGACATCGTCACCCTGTGAGTGTTCAAGATGAAACGTCTGATGCGAAACGTAAACAGTTAACAAACCTCTAACTGCTCTCCTCTCCTCTTTCAGGCTGCGGATTGCCAAAATGAACAAGGAGATGCGGGAGATGGATGGAGCATTTGGCCAATCAGGTCACTCAGGGGGGCAGGGATCTGGGGGGATGCAGGGCGGGAGCGGAGGTGGGCTGGCCCACACCAGGAAGAGCCTGCAGGCCATAAAGAACCATATAAGTGGCTGGGCTCTGGGGGGGCAAAATGATTAGTGGGGGATAAAGGTCAGCCCTGGATTTGGGCTTGTTTTTGGCTGTAAGCTAAAAGGAAAAAGAAAATGTGGAAATGTTTTCCGCTAGTTGTCAAGCATCACTGGTGAAATCACTGGTTTTGCATGTGGTCATGTGGTGTTTATCTGCAGCGTTTGCACAGACATTTTATGGCCTTTTGTGTGTATCATTCAAGGAAACATGCATCATCATTTCTAAGATAGAAAAAAAAAAAAAGAAAATAGCCTCCTCTGAGGAAGCATAAAATCCACTTCTTGTAAACCAAGAACGAGCCAGAACACAGGGTACGACTGTATGAAGTGTAAAGGACGTAAAACGAAAACAGATTTATTGATCAGCAAAGACTGGGAAATGTCTTGTGAGACAAAGGACGGACATTGTGTGAAACATTCGTCCCAGGAGTCCACATGCACTTTCAATTACAAACGCACATCATCCTGCACTTTGAAACCCACAAAAATCTCCAAATAACTATAATAAACAACAAGAGAGCGTTTCATGTGGGTGTTTCCAATGTCACTGTTGTGTAACTGAGGTTTCAGAAAATGTATAGATATAGTAGACCTATATCAGGCCTATTTATCTGATATTGTATATTTGGGATGTTTTTACATACACCATGTACATGTTTTGTTTTGTATCTTGATGTTTGTTAGGCTGTTATTTTCAGTCCAGTTTTTAAGCTAAATTCAATGTTGGGTTTGGTTCTCAAGGACGATTTTTCTCCTACTATTCTGTGAATAGTGACACAGTTTGAGCTTTTACACTGTTTGTATTTATGGTCCAAGAGCTCTGTGCTGTAGCCCTTGAGCTTAAGGTTAACAGTGGGTTTTGTTTGCATTTTGTCATCTGGCTCCTTTTCAAGCTGCAAAGTCCATTCTTTCATGATTGTCCTCGAGGCTTTTTTTGTTAAGTTTCTCTCCAGTTTCCAGCGTGAACCGTTTTCAGTTTTCACTCATGAAGGAATGGAAACGTGAGGCTTTTGTCTGCTTGAAACAACTGCTGGTCGGTATTTGACGTGCTGTGCTTTATCGTTGTGTGTCTTTGTTGTGTGCACTCATGTGCCTTTGCCTTCTGCCTGCTGAGATGTCCGGCTGGTCTCAACTGCTTGCGCAGTGTGCCACCTACTGAAAACTAAGAGGTAAAGTGCATGTGCATGCCCTAATGTGTGTTTATTTGTTCAGTTGCATGCTTCTCGCTTTAGGGCTACTACTCTAAATGAGTTCAGGAAATAGTCGGTGGAGTTTATGTCATTAAAATTGAATATGTCCCCATGAAAATTATGTAGCTCTTGCGGAAAGATGTTATGGTTCAAACACAGCTGTGCCTCATTAAAATAGAGGATGTGGCCAGAAATAAAGAGAAGAATTAAAAGTCAGAAAAGATGGCATTAATTTGACCTTGGATTCTTAAAGTTAACAGCTCTTAAGCTTGTAATCATCTTAAAAAAATCTCTGGCTTTAAGGCTCATTTCTTCTTCTGCGGTTTTTTCCAGGTGATGAAACCTACCAGGACATCTTCAGAGACTTTTCACACATGGCCTCAAACAACCCCGAGAAGCTCAAACGCCGCAGCGCGGACCCCAAATCTTAACCAGCTGTTCCTCAACCTGTTGTACAATGCTACATTTCACATTTCAGCCGGACATACTTGGAAAACACATACATGCTAGCATTCAGCTCACAGGCACGCGCACACACACACACACACACATACAGATTTTCCCTGGCTGCCTGCCACACGTTCAGTCATAGCTCAGCTGGTGTTGACTTCAGAGGGACGGACGCTCCCAACAGTGAATTCTTTGTGCAAACACGTCAGAGCAGAACAATTGTGTCCAAGTGGAAACACTGGAACAGCTTTATGAGACCAGCATGAGGTGTCTTTATGTCTAGCAGAGGGTAACACCATCACTCTGCCAAGATTTCCTAATTAAATCCAGTAAATGTATTGTTTTTTTTTTTTGTTTTTTTTGTAAACCAAAAAGGGCTGAGTTTTTATGTTCCTTTTAGCATTTGAATTGACTCGATACCTGAAAATAAAGTGAAGATGTTTAATGAAAATGGACATGATTGTGGCAAAAAAGTGAAATTTTATGTCAATTGAGATTTAATTTTTTTTTATATCTGGAACATTTTTCGATGCTGTTCAAGTCTGTTTTGTCGATTGATGTGAGGTACTTCAGACTTGTATCATATGATAAATAAAACGCAATACAAAACTTACATTTAAGTGTGTTGAAGTGTTTAAGCTCTATATTTCACATTTGGAATGAGGAAATATTCAATGGTCTACGTTTACGTTTGAAGTGACACACGGTGGTATATGTACAAATCGCCAGCAGAGGGAGCCATCGTTCTGTGATCGAGCTTCTTGGCAAAAAGTTGGTTGTCAGTGATTTTACCACAGATCTGCCTACTTATGTTAAAGGCTGAGACACAAAAACTTCTAAAAGTATAGACACATTGAAATGAAAATACAATCTTTTTTTTTTTTTTTAATCAAAACTGAGTACAAAACATCACATTTTAATTGAAAACAGTGACTGCAGTAGGTTTGAGTGGTAAGTTTAAGACATTAGGGTAAAAATATTTCTGATTAAGATGAACATTTTCCACTTCTCAACAATTACTGAAGCTGAAATGTTCAGTAGCTGCCAGCACGATCAAGTGTCATATTTGGTCACGCGGCTTGTTGCACTGCAAGGACCCTGAAATGAGTCTGCCAGTAACCAGCAGGTCACATTGACCTGGTCATGTCCTGCCTGTAAAACTGGTGTTCATTCAGCTGTTCTCAAAGCCAAACATCTCTGGTTTACAAAGGCAGTCTTGGTTTATGGTTTACTACAGTACAAAGTGCTTATGCACTTGTTATGTATCATCAGAAAATGCACAAATAACAGTCTTGTGCTCCTGCCCAGCGCTTTAATGCACTGATGGAAAGAGAAATTCCTGAGGTTGAGAGGGAGAACTGGTCTGCAGCTCTTTCACAGAGCTGTTGCTGTGCTTCGAATAGATCAGTGTGAACAGTGAGCAGCACAGAGTGGTGCTGCTTATTTTTAAGAAATGTCGTTTCTTTAACCCATAAATATACATCCATAAATTACACAGGAGTGTAAAGATCAACAGTCAGCAGGAAGGCTCAGTGAAACACTGGACAACCCCACTACTTGCCCATGGCTCTTCACACACTTGTCACGTGTGCTTCATTAAAAGACTATCGTTTAAATGCAGATAGTAAAAGTTCAATATTGATCATGTACGTGCAACATATATAAAGATATATAAAGTCAGATTCACGTTTCATATGAACCACCAAGAAAATAAAACATTTCCTTCTCAGTTTCTCAAGTTACGCTGAATGTGCAAACTCAGTGGCAAAATTCAAATCACATTTTCATTCCTATTCCCTATCTTGCATTGCCAGCCTGCAGTGCATGTAAAGCAGCCACACATCTGTACATTGTAAATAAAACATTTCAATGCCCAGATTTTCTTTCAGGCAGGAGGTACTGACCTAAACATCACACTGAGGTTCTGCTGTGAGAGAGAGCAACTCATTGGCCCCTTTCTGCTGTCAGAGCTTTCACAGTGAGCTTCACTTTTGGGTCTGAATCTCTGAGGTATAATGCAAACACACAGCCATTCTGCAATATGTGCAACTGTATACTTACTGTAAGTGTCTTTAAGGAGGCGACACAGTTACACTGACCTGTCTGAAGATTGAATAATAAGACTCTTGGTCCCTTAACTCACACAGTCTTGAAGATGATCAGAAGGCGAACTATTGATCTGTGCCAGCTCTGAATGGTAACTCTTATCTTTGTCGTCATGGGAACGTCTTTGAGGAGCTGGTGGTTCTGTGCAGGAGAAGTAGTGGGGAAGAGTGGCCATGGTCAAAGTACCGAGAATGAGGAAACTGCCCGCTACCATGAAGGAGGCCACGTAGTTGCCTGTGATGTCCTTGAGCAACCCTTGGAGAAAATACGGAGAATTAATAAAATAATCACATTAAAACACAGAGCATATTAACAAAAGGGATATTGCATGGCATGTGTGGGAAATACATACATTCATGGCGAAATCAAGAACATAAGGGCGAAAATAAAACTGATAAAAATTACGAGAACTTAAATAAAGCTCATAATATTAGCCTCATGCTAATTAAGAAAAAGACTCAATACAGTCCTGATTACATGTGAGGTCTTATCACTGTGACATTATGATCCCGTTAAAGGAGGAGTTGACATTTTGAGAAATAACTTTCAGAGTATCACGGACACGACAATGTTTTTTCAATGCTTTGAGCACCACATACAAAAACCCTCCCCTGCAGCGAGATGGAGAGAGAAACCAAACACAACCAACGTTATCTGCGTTCTCCGACACCACTTGATGTAAGTGAAAGGTCCTTTGTAATTTGGTTGAACTGACACTTCGAAACATCCTGTTCTAACTACTCTGACTCTATTCTGTAGAGACGTACGACCTGCTGACTCCTGTGTGGGAACAGTGTGAGTCAGGGTCAGAAATAAAACTTCTAAAAACAGAGGAAGGGGTAAGGGGAACTTGCTGACACTGATTACACCAATTAATGTTTGACTACTTTAGCTTCGGTGTGTTAACCTGTTTAGCAGCTGAGTTATGTCAGTTTAGATAATATGAAACACGCTGACGTGACCTACGTTGGGAGACACAGCCTATATTAACACACCGCGCTCAACACTATGTTGGTTTATTTTATAAACTCGGCTTTGACTTTCTCTATTGTGAACAAAACTCAGTACACCTCCTCTGGCTCGACATCAGTCTGCTCCCTCGGCGTGCTCCTACCTGACAGAGGTGTCCCCAGCAGTCCTGCGATGCTCTCGATGAGCTGCAGCAGCCCGAGGGCCCCCATCATGCGCTCCACGCCCACAATCATGGGCACCACCGCGAAAACCAAAGAGGTCAAAGCGCCGGAGCAGAAGCCGTAGAGGAGGCTGATCACCATCAGTGCAGCATAAGAACCAGACAAAGAGCTCACAGGCAGCAGCATGATGAACACTCCCGCCAGCGTTGTCCACAAGCTCAGCAAGTGGATCAGCCGGAAGTGTCCCAGGTCAGCGAACCAGCCTGACGCTACGCGGCCCAAAATGTCTGTGGCTCCGGCGGCGGACATGACAAAAGCAGCTTGGTATTCTGAGAAGCCGACTTGGCGGCTGTGGGCCACCAGGTGGAAATATGGAACGAAGTAGCCGACATTAAGAAGAGTGATGGCTGCGGTGTAGGTGAGATAAGGCCTCTCGAAGAGCAGCGGCAGCTCCATGTAGGAGGAGACTCGTCGCAGCACCGCGGCACATGATGAGCTGCTCTCTGAATCCACCTGAGGGGTTAAGAAAAGGAAGGAGATGATGATCAAATTATGATCGAACTATAAATCCCTCTCAATCACAGGGATGAAACAGCCCTCAATGAGCACTCAATGACCAGAGGTAGAAGAGTCATCCCAGAGAAATCATTTACTGAATCTCCAACTTCGCTGCTGCAGATATATAAGCTGCCACAAAAGAAGACGGCACCTTTTGCGAGGCTTTAGGGCGTCGCTTCAGGCGGACGAGAGCCCCGCAGGGCACAATGTTGAGGCTGAGGCCCCCCAGAATCAGCAGGGCCCCCCGCCAGGCATACATCTCCACCAGAAGCTGGAATAGCGGGTTGAAAGCGAAGGAGGAAATGCCGATGCTGGAGAACGCCAGTCCCAACGCCAGGGTGCGGCGCCGCGTGAAGTGAGCCATGACGGTGGCCACCATGGGAGTGAAGACCAGTCCCCAGCCCATACCTGGAGGAGGGAACGGAGGGAAGGTGAGAGGTCAGTTTGTTGACAGGTAAACACTTAACGAGGTAAACGAAGACGAGCAGCCCTCTAAAAGTAAAGGAGGGATGTTTGTAATCCGGCTGTCTCACAGGAAGAGGAAGTAAACCCGTTACTTTGACTGGTATTGTAGGACTTTCATATATATGACCTGAAACGACACCCATAGTGAGGTAGAGATGAACAAGGCTGGTGGCCTGCGAGGCGAGTATGAGGCCGAGTCCAGCGAGAAAGCCCCCCGTCATCACCACCACCCGGGTGTCATATGCATTACACAGCGCTGCACCCAGAGGACCTGCAACACAAACACATACAGGTGCCTCCATTAGTCAGGACACTTGCCAAAATCCCTCTTATTCCACCATGTCTATCCTGTACCAGCTAGTTTTAGCTCCACCGAAGGTAAATGATGTTTACACTGAAATATTCAAACCCATGTTTTTATGGCTGCACAAGTCCAGATGAAATTTTCTAGCTGTCTTATCCTCTTATCTTTATCTCATCCTGACATATATTTAGTATGTGTGGAAACTTTGGGATCTGCCCTAGAGTGTAAAATAAAGTTGTGTGATTTTGAAGTCTGGCTGCAGGGCATGTCTTTGTAATGAGTGACCCCACAGGTGCTGGTTAAAGGGCTGAGCTGCAGCCCTGTTCTCTCAGACCAAAAGGCTCAGATTCAATTAATGACCTTGTTTAAGTTGCTTCTCTTTCATCAGATCCCTTCCTGTGTAAATAGTAAAAACTTAACAGGAAAATTACAAAATGTGCTGAAAATGATAAATGGATTAATCTAATAGATAAATAATTGTATAATGCTTTTGATTATTGAATAATCATCCAAGTAATGCCAAAAAATGCCAACCATTGACTGCTTCCAGCTTCTTAAATGTGAGAATTTAATACTTTTGTTTGTTTTATATCAGTGTATCTTGAATATCTACTGAATAACTAGCTGTTGGTCAAACAAAATAAACAGTGGGAAGACATCTTCCTCTTCTTAGGGTCTGAGATATTATAATAATAAGCAATTTCATTTCACACTCACTAAAGAACTGCTGTGCTGCCAGGCCTGTTGAAGAGATCCAGGAGATGGCCTGGGCGCTCTCCTCAAAGTACTGGACAAACTCCACGAAGAAGATCCCCAGGCTGCGCATCAGCCCGAACACGAGGCTCGTGCTGACGAACAGGGCGCCGACCATCACCCAGCCCCAGCCTCCATCTGGACCCTCAGCTTCATCACTCTGGCTCTCTGCTTTGGGCTTGTGTTTGGTCATGTCCAAGACAGAGTCTGTGAAAATACGATAAAACGCAGGTCGGCGTAAGAAGCACCACGGACAGTCAGATCACCTTCAGCAACAGTGCAGAACTAGTCTCAGATCAGCTCTGTGGTTGTCAATAGCCATAATCATTAACTTCCCACAGGCCAATAAATGCCCTTGTTGTGACATGTAAGTGTGAGCGAGCTGCTCAACAAGTTGACCTCCATTTGAGAACAAGATGTAGGTGAGAGGTGAACTCTGACCAGGGTTCATGATGCATCAATACTGAAATATCAATAAGTATGTTCAATCCACTTTCACCAGACCTCTGTACAGCAATCTGCAGGAAGCGACATAGAAACTAGAAATGCCTTTTTTTTCTGTTCTTAATATCTGGCGAATTTCCAGTGCGGTTTTCTAGTTATTGTTATTCTTCACTTGTCTTTTCACTTTTTAATGCAGTAATAAGACAATTTGCAACTTCGACCTCTGATCATAACCATGTTCTCCTCTGCTGGCCACATATAGCTCACTATGCAAACACACATATGTCTCTTTCAGCATTTGGCTCAAGGTTTAAGAATGATTTACAAGGTCTGTTGCACTTTTATAAAGTATGTTTCTGTTAACTGGAAGTTTGTGTGCTGGGGTCAGCCATGTCCTAGAGGTGAGAGAAGAGGGCTTAGGATCAAAAGGTCGCTGGTTTGAATCCCTGAACGGGCAGGAAGAAATGTGGGCAAGGGCAGAGTGAATGAACAGCACTTTCCCCTCCAGCAATATCCACAGCTAAAGTGCCCTAGAGCAAGGCACCTAACGCCCTGTGGCTGCTCACTGCTGCTGTGTGTGTGTGTGTGTGTGTGTGTGTGTGTGTGTGTGTGTGTGTGTGTGTGTGTGTGTGTGTGTGTGTGTGTGCGAAAGTGAGAGTTTCCTGTGATGTTTTATAGCATTATATAACATTATCCTTTAGGGAGGAGGAGCAGATGTGCTATTTCCAACAGCAAGAGCCTTTGGTGATGGCTTAGGCAGACACCTAAAATAATCACAAGCCTACAAGTATCAAGTTCTGGTTGGCTTAACATCTTGGTTAAACAATCTCTCGGGAGGGAACTGTCTCAACACCCAGATGTATGCCAATAAAAGAGAAATCTGATGCACAGCTCAAGTATCTATGCACTCACACACACATAGAGAGAAACTTGATCTTATCTCCTGGTTTCTGGAGCGTTTAAAAATCATAAGAACACACTACAACAACACTGTGAGCCTCATCACACTGTTTCTAATTTTTAAGAGAAAAGCACCTCAAGCACATTTTGTGCCGATGACAGCAACTCGCCGGTCACACGATGCGTCCTCACATGATGCTGTGGAAATACAGCTGCAGCACGACACACAATATGCAAACAGCGCTGAAGCCCCTCTTCAAGTACACAACTTTGATCTTTAGCAGTCAATGCACTCTTGTTATTGACTTTCTGTGACCTGCTGTTACCACAGTCTCTAGAGGTGTTTTCTCCATTTTCATTCTGGTTGATGTTTTAGTCAGCAGTCAGCTGCTACTGTACGGTTTCCTGAAAGCTGTGCCTCCTCTTTGATGTGACTCATCAGCTCACCAACATAAAAAAAAAAAAAAAGTTGCCACTGACGTGCTCTCAACAAATTCAGCTTTGTTTGAAGTTTCTCAACATAAAAAAAAGTTTATTTGTCCTGCAGTGGCTTTCAGTTAACTGCAACTTTACTGCAAAAAAAAAGTCAACAGTTTATTTAAAAATATAGTGGTGGTAGCGGTTCACTTTTATTTCAAGTAAACTATGCAAAATCAAGACAATAATTGTGATTATTTGTGTTGCTGGTTGAGCAGTATTTGCCCCTCTGCTCCTTAATTTGCTGAGCTGAAAAAATAAGCCAAAGCAACATGTAGCACAGTGAGCTGATCCATTCCTGACTAATACCACTCACTTCGCTCCTGCAGGAATGACAGGAATTTGCAGCTAACACACTCTCAAACACACACAACCTTTAAAGACCTGATGCTCACAAAGCAGGAAAATTCTAACTTCGGCAAAAACAACAGTAACTCAACAGGAGCTGCAGTCTGTGTTTCACACTGTTACTGTAAATGTTGGTGAGTTGGCTGCTGAATGTGAAACCAACCTGTTGCAGGAGATGCAGGAGCTTCCCTAACACCAGACTTCAGTGAAGCACAATCTGTTTTAGAGAGAATAGAGAGTTTCACATCATGATCATGTGATGTACTTGCCAAATATTTCTTTTCTGTTTTCTGAGAAACCAACATGGGAAATGCAACTGACATCTCAGCATTGATGATGGTGAAGGTACAGGAAATCACCCGTTCTTCATTTTCATAGGCTGGTGTCAAGTCAATTTTATTTATGTAGCCCAAAATCAAAAATAATAAATTTACGTCAGAGGGCTGAGAAACACTGAGATCAAGTCCTCCATTCAAGCAACTGGCGGGGACTAATGCATGCTTGGTATTTTAAAGACTGATTCGTGTATTTTTAGACCCATCATATCTCAATTTGAGTAGTTTTTGGCAAACAAAGAATGAAAGACTCCCAAGCTGTATTTTATTCACAGCACAAGCACATAGACCTTCATCCTGAGAAATAAAATTCATAGAAAATGTAATTGTGCAGTTTACTAAATAAACGTTGTCAGGTGGGTGTTGGAGGGACTAAAGAACTAAACCTTTGCTATAGTGAGTTTCTACTCTCTCTCCCAGTACTATGAACACTTTCTGAGTTGTTTTTATTTCAATACAAGCACAACTTCTACACCAGTTTTAAAAAAGTTATAAATGAGCACACTACCTCTGCTCCGCTGCTCTATTTTCTTGGGTGTCTTTTTTATTTGTATTTTTGCTGCATCAGCTAAATTCACACTTCTGCACAATTTGAGTCGGAATCGTATGACGTTGCTTGGTGAATTATTGCTGAAGCCAAATCATAAAAACATATTGACTGCAAACAACAGAAGGAAACACGCACCTGCAAACACCTGCTGTTCAAGGACTCAGTCAGCTTCACCCATGTTAATTAATTACTCAGGTAGACTGCCCTGGACAGGTCGACAGTCGTGAACGCGCATTGGAAACTGAGCACGCACGTAGATGACGTCGGCTCCCCAAGGCGCCTGCGCAATGGCTGCCACACGCGGCTGTATTAACACCAGAATGGCAACAAATGTTGACGTTTTTTTGGCGACAGGCAAATTATGCTAACGTATTTCAAGATAATTTTAAATTCATTTTCAAATTTTGCCAACAAGCTCTTTGTGTGAGCGCGTGCGTGAGTGAGAATTAACGCAGAAAACGGTTTCATAACCCGTGACTAAGTGAAACCTAGAAGGCTGACTGACCGACTGTGACCCAGATGTTATCGTATTTAACTAATCGTACGTTAATAATAACAGCACTTTAAACCGCCCGCAGCCCAAAGATTCACTCTGCTAGCGTTGACTCCACTCACCGTAAGCCTAGGCTCGGCTCGGTCTGTCAGCTTCCCCCGGGGCAGCACATGGTCCACAGTCTCCAGGTTCACTGTGGTAAACAGCTAGATTACAACGGGTCCTGTCAACATGAGCAGCAGCAAGTTCAACAGTGCTCACTGGGAAGAGCGGTAACCGGCCGCGTGCACAAGCCCGACGGGAACGCGCACATTGGACATGTTTGCCATGAAGTCTGGACATGAAAATCTCCATCACAAAGCCTTTATGGACAGTTTTTCACGTTCACAACACTTATTGTACTAAATATTTGCCTATAACTATCAATCATTTTATTTTATTGATTATGTCGAGTACATTTCTCCTCCTAAAGTCCTTTATTATGCCAATATGTTTAATGGTAGGTCTACATATAAAATTCTCAGTGAGCAACTTAAACTGTCCTCTCATTTGTAATATCATGTAGTTTTGCAATCCCTGTTTTATCAAAGTTTAAAGAGAGCATGAACAAAACAAAACAATCAACACAAAGTATCAGAGCTTTTACCACCTCTTAGAAATATTATATAGTCTAGTATTGCAAGACATTCGTATATGGAAAACAGTAAAAATTACTGAGCTCAAAATTACACTGACAACTGTGTTTATAATATATATTTAAACATGAAAGAATTGATGGTGAGACAAGATAATCTCAAGTCTCCTTATTTGCTTGTTCTGCAGCTTTCTACCATATCATACAGTCTGCATCGACACGTGGAGTTTGCTCAGTTGCTGTGTAACTGTTAAAATAATGAAACTGCTGTTTCCAAGGTAAAGAATGAGCAGTCAAAATCCACTCCAAAAATTACATTTAGGAAAACTTCAGTCTGCCTTTAGTCTCCAAAAACATCTCAAAAAGATCAGATTTAAGTTGGAGAGTTTGGAGTTGGAGACTGACACTAGAGGGAGACAGCCACAACATCTAAAAATGTCAGGGTCTTCAGGGTTCATTCTTGTTTCATGTGCCCTGAGGAAAGATTTTTTGATAACATTTTGATAAAATCCCTAAAAGTTGAAATAAGTACACATTTCCCATGTCATATTCACTTCCTGATTTTTTCTCTTTTGTGACCTGATTTGAAGGGAGACGTCTGAAAGGGTGTGATTGGCCTCAGATTAATAAAGGGAAAAAACTACATGTCGCAGCTTTCTTTCTTTTCTTTTTTTTTCAGTGGTGGCAGTGGGGGGATGAAGGTTGGAAAGTCCCGTCAAACTTCCAACGTTTGTCTGCTGAGCGTGGACAATAAGCCCGACTAGCCACAACTCATCAGGCGGCAGGAAGCCGGGATGACAGAGGGTGGGAGAGTTCACCAGGAGTCTGCAGCCCCTCCACAGTCACCCCCTTCACCTTCAGGAAGCACCAGCGAGCTCGCACACGTGTTGTCGACTGGTAGTGTGTGGGCAGGGTATTAGGACCCTGGAGGAAACAGGTGCCCTCGGCTTCATTGTTTCCACACCAGCACCAAGAAAGAAACAAAACAAAATCTAGAGAAATGGCAGAACAGAAGACGTGATTCATGGGTAGAAAGAGCGTGTTAATGAGAGGAAGGAAGTTCAGGGAGGAGAAAGGCTGAAGCAGGGAAGTGTGGTGGAGAGAGAGGGAGAGAGAGAGAGAGAGAAAGAGAGAGAGAGAGAGAGAGCGAGCGCACAGTTCATTTGCTATAAGAGCTTGAAAATACATGGTCTGGTCAGCAATTGTTTGTTTTTTTAACCCAGCACCTTGTTTCTGGATCTCTTGTTTTTACATCAGATCTAACATTATATATGTCATAGTATGATAGATAAATGAGACACCACACACCAGAAGTCCAATTGATATAAAAATGATTTAATTTAACTTGTAAAAAACCATCTTTGTCCAGCAAATGAACTCATACACATACAAATTTAACATTATTAATTATCCAATTGCTTACAGTCATCTTTTTTCTTTTCTCATGTCACAAAAAAACCCCCATATCTTTTAATTTTTATATTTTATCTTCACTACAAGACTAAGTCCTTTGCCTGCTTGGACCAACAGTGCAGATATCGCTGCAGAACACACAGGCCCCAGGCCTCAAGATTAAGATAAATCTGAGTTAAATACATGTTTAGGAAGAAAACTTCAGTATCTTAACACTGATTTAAGTGCTTCTCCAAGCTTCAAACCCCACTACGAAACTACAAAATTCACCACCTCCCCCTTCATAAAACTTGCTTTATCTTTCTTTCAAACAGTTCACATCCTCTCAATTCTTCAAAATTCAGTGTGCACACAACCTCAAGTACAAATCCTTTCTTTCCATGTCTCGCTCCCTTCTTTCAGTCCCTTCACAAACCTTCAAAAACACTTTTATTAACATCATCTCCATCTCAAACTCCCCCCTCCCAGGATTCCTGATTAACCTATAACATTCATACTAATAATGCTTAAGTATGTTATGTTTGCTCCAAACTCCAAATTCCAAACCTCATCCAACAACATGCTGATAATAAACATTATTTGTGAGTGTAATCCATTTTGGTCTCATCTAATCAGTGCGTTAGAATGTATAAATTACGACCTCGTATTCAAAAAGCAGATGTCAATTCACAAAATTTCACATTTTCCTAACAGATGCAGATGTTATGCAGATGTTATTCTGCTTGTCATGACTGACGAGTCTTCAGCAGGCCTGCAGTATAGGCTGATAGGGCTCCGTCAGGACCTTGTAGCGGATCTTGGTGTTGGTGACGGCCCCGTGTTTCTGGCGCAGGTGAAGACGCAGCTGGCTCTTGTGGCGGAAGTGCAGGTCGCACTTCTCACACTGAAGAACAAGGAGGAATCGGCAGGTTAGACAGCAGGGTCACGACAGGACAAAGTCATATGATGTACGCCAGGCAGCGTTCTCACTCACAGTGTAAGGCTTCTCTCCGGTGTGGATGCGCAGATGGCTCTTCAGGGTCTGCAGGTGACGGAAGCGGGTGCCACAGGTGTGGCAGGGGTAAGGCTTCTCACCTGTGTGGATCAGGACATGGGCCCTGAGGTGGGCAACCTGTAGCACACAGACAAACCACACAAATATGATGAGAGGTTTGACAGACGGAAGTTTTGTCTCTTCAACACTCAAATAAAACTTTGGTGTCAGGTATGACCAGACCACCCAGAGAAATTCACATCTAGAAATTTTTATCACTGATTAAAGGCATCCACAGGTATTTCTAAAAGACATAAAGGATATAAAGTATTCTCTGAGAGAAGACAACAATGTGTGCTAACATGACCGACACCTGTTTTATTGAGGAGAGCTTTGTAAGATTCCCCAAGCGCTCACAGAGTTAACCCTCACCTGAACAAATCGTGCGCCGCAGGTGTCACAGCGGTACGGTTTCTCCCCCGAGTGGATGCGGGAGTGAGTCTTCAGGTTGGCTGGTCTGTTGAACTGGGCGCCGCACACATTGCAGCGATACGGCTTGTCACCTGCAGGAGCAGAAGGTCACTGTTACATATTGGCTCTTCATTTCTAAAACAAAGACAGAGAAAGATCCAAAGAGAGAAAAGGATTTTTTTTTATAGCCTCACCTGAGCAGGTGGTCTTGGTTCCTTGAAGGTTGCCAGGGTAACAGTAGGGCACGTAGTAGTTCTCGCGTTTGATCGCATGTTGGTTGTGATGGGCAGCTTCTGGATCAGTGGGGTCCAGTTTGGGGAAAATGGCGCAGGGTGAAACTGGAGAGGCACACAAAATACAAGCATGAAGATATTGAACACACCAACGCAGTGACTGTGATGCTAATAATGTGTGTAAACGAACTGTGTGAAGCGTTGCTTTATACCTGTTCCCTCCTTGTGAGTGGGGGGCACTATTAGGGGATCCACAGAGGGGGATGGCCCGAGGGGAGGGGCTCGGCCAGAACCCTCGTAGCAGGAGGCCTGCCCCTGTCTGATGGAGAGAAAGGTTCATGAATATGGATTTGTAAACACACACTCTGTTTTTATTTATTAGTTCTCATCAATCCAGCTCATACAAGCCTCCTACCTATCAATCTGACCAGGCACTTCTCCAGACCACGCCTCTGCTGGGGCTTTGGGTGTCAAGCCCATCCTGTCCGTGATGGGTGATGCTTGACTTTGGGGTTCCTCCATCTCCTCTTCCTTCACTGTGGTCGCAGCACACAGAGGGTTGAGGACAATGTACTTGTATTTCTTCCAGTTGCAGGCCTTTGGGTCTGGTTTGGCTTTGGTATCACTCTGGAGAAACAAACAAGAAACATTATATTACTCACTTACTGATAAAACAAAGCTTCAAGGAGACAGTCACATTCTTAAGGGCTCCTTGTGTTCGTTTTCAGTATTACACTCAACGGCATCTTCTTCATTTTCTTCAAAACTTACCACAAGGTTTTTGTTACAGGTGTTGGACTCAGCTGGAGAGTTCGGTTGGCAGCTGGAGCGGGCAGGGCTGTCTGGAGATGGGGTCGGGGGCCCGGTGAGGGGCGACTCAGGCTCTCCTTTTAGCTCCTTTGACCTGGGCTGGCTGGACGGGAAAGCCCCTTGCTTGAGAGAGCCCCCACCCTCCGCAGGGACCCTGCGGAAGAAACAAAGGAAGTGCTGTAATGAGCTAAAACCTGTCAACAGACAAAGGCACACAAACACGGACCACCGGCAGACACACTTGTGGCAATCTGTAAACATACCCTCACGCACATTAATATACTCCGGTTGCCAAGATCAACCCCTTGAATGCATCAGCAGATGAATTAAAGTTTTGTTTTTGTTTTCTCTTACCTTGTTGCCCCTGCCATCGGTCCTGGGTAAGGCAGGTCCCCTCCTTTGGGGGCTACAGAGGCCACAGACACACCGGAGTCCAGCTCCAACTGTGGGTGTCTTGCACTCATATTGTCCCTGCTGAAAAACAAAGAACCTGTCAATCACCCAAGTCAAATACATGCAACATTAAACATTAAAATAAATCCAATTGAATTACACTGGATGACTCATGAGTTATATATATACATATATCTCAGCATCTGCTACAGTATCAATCCACAAAGAAAAACCCTGTCCTGGCTTGACTACAGAGGTTCTTTCCCACCCCTCACCAGTGCAGGTGCATGAAATCCCGGCAGGTATCGGCCACGTGGTCCATCTGCAGGTAGGCCGCAGCAGCGAGCACCCCTGGGACGATGCTCGGCGTCAGAGGGAGACGGGAGGTGTACATGAAGTCGAGCAGCAGGGAGACGCTGGATGGGTCCAAGGTGTTGGGGAGAGAGACAGTCATGAGCTGCTCGCCGTTGCCACCACGCCCCTGAAGCAGCACGCGGCGGGAGTACAGCGAGTAGAAGAACCCACTGAGAGGAGAGACAGGAAGACAGAAATATTTTAGGTAAGATATGCAAATGATCTCAGTGTCAATGTGGATGAAATGTGTTTTGGATAAGGGGAATAGAACAGAAATGGAGGGAAAGAGATGAGATAAGGAAAACAACTGATGTCCCCAGTGGAAAGTGGGAAAAGTGAAGGCGACAACATAAAATTAGTAGGACAAACAACATGTATGAGTCAAGAGGAAAATCCAAAGGATTACAGAGGACTGTGTCATCAAGGGAAAAGACAGGAAACACTGCTCATTTCAACCAGACACATTTGCCACTGTCATCAGGGAAACACTCCTTTGAAAACTGCACCAGAAAAAAACCTCCACCCTCCTGCATGGCATGAGAACAGAGAGGGACTATTTTGTGTAATGGCCTGGCCCGCGCACTGACCTGCAGGCCACAAGCACGGCACAGTGCGCCCGTAGGTGCACGTTGCCGACGACCAGGGTGGTGTCGGTCAGGATGTTGCGGTGCCGGAGTTCGTTAAGGTTCAGCAGCACATCGTTGGAGTGGCGTGTAAACTCCTTCACGTATCCCTCAGCCCTCAGCTCCCGCTCCCTGTCGACCCTGAATCCTCCCAAGACCTCCATCACGCTTATCTGTGTTTGAAGAAAAGGAGTTACGCAACTTGGGATTCGAATGCAACAGTTCATTGCATGACTTAGTCGCAATGAATGAATTGACATTTTGAATCCTTGCATGAGAAGATCCACAGTAATAACCCACCTGTGTGTAACTTATAGAATAAATAGACTGGAGTGTTCCAGACACATCTGTTAGGTGAGACCAGCTCCCTACTCGTACCTGCATGAGGAAAAACACAAGAAACTTCCACTTAATCCACTTAATCCACTTGAAGCTTTACTATTATAATGCAGATATAAGTTGCAAATTGCAGAAAAGTGGTAATTACTGAGAGTTCATCATTAAATGTGAAAAAAAAAAAAAAAAATTCAACCATTTCAAAGCAGAAATGTAAATTTAAATTGAAAGATATGACATCTGATTGCTTTTCCAAACTTAACTGGATTTATCAAGAAAAAAAAGTCATAAACATTTCCTTTTAAAAACAAACAAGTCAAGCAAATCAAGCAGTGAACAAACAGTTAAGAATATACTGAGAAAACCATTTTCCAACTCACCCCGACCAGCAGGGACGAGAACTAACGTGCACCACACTGATGTCAAACCCCCTCGGCTCGGTGTTCAGTCTACAATCAAAGACGTGGAGCAGGGGCTCACCCACAGCCTCCACTGGCTCTGACCAACGGTGTGAGGGGAGGCTGGAGGGAGGGAACTCTTTATAATGTCGTGCAGGAAACCCCCATACAACCAGAGCTCCTCGTTTCCTCCTTCCTCAATGGCCCACGCGTACACTGGAAGCAACGCAGGAAAAAGCCCCGGCCCAGGCTCCGGGCTCCAAGTATTTTTAGTGGGCTATTAGTTTTTCTAAACCCCCATAGCTCTCAGCAAAGTAATGGCAGGAAAGCATAGTGTGTTTGTGTGCCACGTTGAAAAAATATATATGAGGACCCTTGGGGAGGTGCGATACGTGCCTTGCTATCCAGGGGCAAGCCAGAGAGCATCAGGCTTCCCCCACCAACGCTTTCCTACCCTTCACCAGGACAGAGGAAACTGTCTGAGAGGAAGCTGGAAGACCAACTTACCGCTGCATAAACAAGCTATGCCGATGTCATTGAGATTCTGTCTTATCAAGGGATTTTTTTTTAAATATAATCTCAACTGTTTGTGAGTGATTTCTCAAACCATTCATCCTAATTTGTGAGGATGTTACTCAAATATAGCAAACAATGGTATTCAAAGACAAACTGTGTCATTGCTGAGTTGACTAGTTCAGGTAAACAGGGATTAATAAGTGCTCCACAACAGTGTCCGGAAGCTTCTGGCTTGCTGCCTGAGAGCAGAGGCGTTGTGTTATGAGGACCAAGAGGAAGGAAGCAAGACAAAATCGATGGTTCTAGATGGGGAGACACCTTCTCCTGGTGCTGAAAAACAACCTTTACCCCGCCCTGGCTGAGAGAAATGTAACCGACAGATGTGCAGGAACTGCCCTTCAACCCACCACCCACCACCCCCCCCCTCACACACACACACACACACACACACACACACACACACACACACACATCTCTGAATGCATCCTGCGAAGCTGCCCAGAGACATGGATGAAAACGCCTGCGCAGGACATCCGTCAACAATAAAGCGAGCAGAAGACAAGGGAGGAGAAATGGAGATGGAGGGGGGGTAATGGAGCGAGGGGACAAGGACCAGGAGGTCACGAATGACTAAAAAACAAGCGGAAAGTGACCTCATCCTGAGTGCAACCTTGGGTTCACAGACAAGCAAGCACAGGACAGTTAATTGAGGCACTGCAAAAGTGAACTACGAACCACGTTTCCGTCACATCAAAGTATTTCACAGAAGAAGACCTTGGAGAAGGAGGAGAGAAATCTTCAAGGTTGACTCAGGATAGATAAGCGCTGCTTGCACATAAAAAGCAGATCAAAAGTGGTCATTTGATTAATACAGAGAAAATTATTTTTATTTTCAGCAATAACATTAAGTACTGCTTCCAATTCATCTTTACTGTGAAAGAAAAATATGGACTTCCTTATTTGATTTTGAGCTGCAATGTTTTTATTGCAGTGTGTAGTGAACCTGAAAATGCACTGACCTCCACCAAACCAATGTCAATCAACACACACCAGACTTCAGAGGAAAAAATTCAAATTCATAGTAAATGATCCGGATCTGCCCCAAAATTTGATGGGCTCTTTCCTGGCCCGTGCCCCATCCCTCCAGCGCAAATCCGTTCTCCAACCCTCCAGACAAACAAACAAACACACCAACAGACACACGTGATTACATAACCTCCTTATCAGATATACTTGCCTGCAGGTCAATGCAACTTGTAGAAAAAGTAAAACATCTTTAATAGACAGTAAGCTTTTTAAAAAAGCTAATGAGCCAAACATGAAGTCAAAATCAAACATGACTTTATTTTGATATAAATCCTTTGAAAATGTGAATCGGAAGTGAAGTGTTTGCACGGCGTGTAGAGCTCGTGTGCATGTCCTTGTGCTTTTATTTGTTTGGATGGAGACTAGATCAATTGTGTGCTTTGTTAAAAGGAAAAAAAAAGAAAAACCATAAAGGAAAACAACAATTAAGAAAACAGAGAAGGAGATGTAGGTCTCGGCTACTTCCAGGCATTGTGAGAAGAACGGATGAAGGGGGCGGTTGAGGAAAAGTGAGAACATTACTAAACAGGTTCAGCAATGGGCGGAAACCATTGAGTCTATGCCATTGGCAAGGCTGGGCAATGCTCATAGTGACTTCCTGCTTCTTACCCTATCTGTCAGTGTCCATCAGTGACCCACTAGCCCTGTTTGTGAAATTAAAAAAAAAAAAAAAATCTTTTAACTGTCAAATAGGAGACTCTGATGAACTTGAACTTGAAGCCAGCTTTGTGAAAGTTCATGAACAAACAAATTCTCAACATCTATCTGTCATTCATCATCGCACAGGACAAAGACAGGGATTCCCCCTTGTTTTGTGGGTTCCTGGTTGCCTAGACAGAACTATATTGTTTATCTGATAATGTATGGACTGAAGCCATGCTTTGACTTCAAATCCCCCTGTTGGTGCCAAAGTGTTGATAGCTCCTGCAACAATAACAGATCTGCTTAAACTGCCTCTTCCTGCGATTGCAGAGGAGTCTGGACATATAAGGGCAAACGGCACAGAGCTACTGGGAGGAGGAACAGGAGGAGGAAGCAGGGATATCCCAGGGAGCAGCCTTGTTTGTTTGTCCACTTATTGGCAGAGATTGACTGGGAAATAAAAAAGATAAATGATAGTTATGAAACCCTTCCTGTGGAGAAATGCCCTGGGGAAAGCAGTGCCCCTCCAACATGGTGCTGGTTGGAGTGGGAGGAAGAAGAAAGAGGGTGGGGGTAACGGTTGACCCAAATCTCATGAACCGCAAAATAATAAAGCAAGCACATGACCTTCATATACCACTGCTGCTTGCAGAGTGGTAAACAACTGGGTGTAGAAAACATACTGAGTAAGACCAAACTCTGCATTCTCAATGAGAAGCTGTAACATTTACAATCGAAACCCAAAATACAGTAACTTTAAATATCAACACAAAAATCAAACTTTGACAGCAGTTGGCTAATGCTAAATAAAAGTTTAAAACACATCATAAGGAACAGTTCATTTAGCCTCAGTTTCCTGAGGTTAGCATCATTTCTGTTTCAAATATTGACTAAAGTGGCATTGCACTGATTTTTAGTGCGCTCAGGTTTTAATGCATTCACACATTAGAAACTTAGCTTTTATTTACTTAGTTATATATATTTATTTCAGGTTGTTAATGGATGGATTTTGATGGATGAATGGATTTTTTGAACTTTGAAGTTCATTCAAAAAAATATAAATACTAATTTCATAAACTGAAACTAAACTGCGTTGTTGGCTTGACTTTGAAGAAGAATTTGAAGTATTAAGAGGAGTAAAAAAGGGGAAAGGGAAGAAGAATGCAAAGTGTCAGCAGTGAAAAAATAGATATTCCACTTAATAAGAAATTTGCATTTCATCATGGTTACAGATATGGATAACAGTTATGGATTTTACAAATAAAATAAATGAGGGTAGTATTTACAATATAGCTGAGTTTTGTATTTTTTATTTTCAAAACTGTATGTGACAGACCCCCCACCTCTCTCTCCACACACACACACACACACACACACACACACACACACACACACACACACACACACACACACACACACGCTTTATGATGGTTGCACACCTCACACAGGAGCACAGCACACAACTCAGCCACAACAACAGACACAAACACACAGACACCATACACACAGGCACACACACCCCCCCACACACACACACACACACACACACACACACACACACACACACACACAAGCTACGTCACATGTCGGGAATGCAGTGAGGAGCTGCTGCTGCTGCTGCTGAAGGCCTCAGGATCCGTGACAAAGTAGGTTACCGACGCTGAAGCTAAAAGAAAGTTCTTTCGGGATAACTTTCACTGACCTTTGGACATTCAAACGGAGGTGTAGATTGTGTTTGTCTGGCTCATTTCAGGCGGTAGGTGTCGGTTATTTCACTGGTCCCTCTTCGGCTGTGTTGAAGTTAGCCTGGAGGCAAGGCACGAGCTTTGCTCGAGTTCAAAACAGGCTAGCAAACAAGTAAACAAGCCTGTTATTAAAGTTAATTGTTGTTAATTATCACTCATTATGGGTTATTATATCACGTAAGCGTTGTGTTTTGCTCAAATGTGACGCAGAAAGGACAAATTTGGACGAACTGCTTGACAATTAGTCTCTGTTCGTTCGTATGAGACGTTAATGTTGCTGTGCGGAACTAACGTTAAAACCGAGAAAATATCTCTAACGTGTCTTTATTATTTCGTCTCTGTTTCATTTTACCAATGTTATATTGCTCTTGGTTTGTAGATGAGACCGAAGAGAAGAGGGGAGTCACTGTAAAGGTACTGTAAAAGGTAGGAAATGCTAATAGGTTGCTAATGTCGATTAGAGATTCTCTCTGCGGATGTAATTTTTAACCCATTTCATTTACCGACACATATTGATTTAAGTCATGTTGTCTTCTTGTCATTTCGTTAATTTTAACTAGCACACATAGCCACATTGTGTCAAACATGTAAAGCTAATTATAGTTTTTCGCCTTCAAAATAAAAGCCCAATTGTCACAGAATAAGAAAAATTGTCTGTAAAACTGGGAATATGAAGGATTCGGGATGTCCTCAATTAAACTTGTAGTTGGTACCAGTTTTAGCTTTGCTGCTTTTATTTCAATCGGTTTTCCTCATTTCTGAAACGCATGAAGTAGAGACATTTTATTTTTAAATTCGAAAAACCACCGGATGTCCTTTTTGTTTACCCCCGATCGCTTGGGTCTTGTCACTGTCATCAACTTTGACATTTCATGAGTTGCTGCGCCTCCTTTGCATTCAGCAAGAGTAATAAAATGAAAAATGCTTCAGCTTTGTGTTTTAAATCACACAAAAACCTCACAATTGGCCTTTGAACACAGAGCGATAAAACCGTTGAGATTAATTTCCTGGCCCAGACATCCTCGGATTTGAGTGTGTGCTCATCCGGATTCAGACAGGGGCTTAATTCAGGTCGACCGTGGAGGTGGTGGTCACTCTTTCCTCCACATGGTGAGTGTGTAATGTTAAATCCATGCTGGCACTGCGTGGTGTAATGGTACCTACAACAACCCATTAACAGAAATAATAAATAAATAAAGAGTCTAAAAGAAACCAAAAGGCTTAAATCCCGTGTTCAAGCATTGTATTTCAGTACAGCTGCATCATCCTCTCATCCATCATTATAATCTTCTTACCAACAAGGATTTATGACGGCCACACAACCCACATACAATCAATCTGAGTGGGCTGTTAATTTCTCCTCTCTGACAATGCCGATTTGCTGTGGCTCGTCTCTGTGCTTGCAGTCCAGTGGGCACTGTGTATATCACACAGAGGCTTAGTTCATGCATAAGCTTGCTTCCTTTATGCACAGACTGTTAATCACAATTCATTTTCAGTCAGTCATTCACACTCTATAGAATTATTACTATCCCGACAGAAGTCAATCAGAATTTCCCAAAACATTAAAATGTCTTACTAAGTAAAATGAAGAATCCATGATCAAAAAGAGATTCACTCTCTGGCGTTGAATGTTGAGCATCAAAGAGCTCTTTTTCAGAAAGACCTTGACCCCTTTGCTTGTTAGACAATATCTGACACATTTATAAATTGCATTGACATATATCTAATGTTTGGTTGGGTTTTTCCTTAAGTAACACCAGTATCCTGAAGTCCCTCGGGTACAAGTCAGCACTTTTTCAGCTCAGCTGTGTGCCCCAGTGTTGTTATTTATCCCGCAGAGAATACATAATATATTGTTATGAGCCAGGTGTTCACAAGTATACAGATACATGTCATTACACAACATTTCCTGCCTTGTTTTTGTCTCTGCTCTATTTGGAAATCAATGATACTGGTGTGTAAACACCCAAAGACAATAACCATTGTGGAGGATAACAGGCAAAGGACAGCCACAAATTTGCACCTGTTTGTATGTCTGTATATGAGTGTGTGTACTACATGTGTGCTGGTGATTTTTTTTTGCACGGGTGTTTATGTCTTGAGGCACACAAAAACACACTAACACACGTTTCGGGGCAATGTGCGAGCCTGCTGGAAATCCCCATGCCTTTCAGAAGGGCCGCTCTCTTCCTGCCCCTCAACTAGGAAACTATTGTTCAATCTGTGTGTCCCCGTTGCCATAGGAAACAAAATCGGAGGCATCCCTTAGTTTCCATTGGTTACCTATGACAAAAATACATAGAACAGCTACAGCTGTGTTCATGCAAATGCAAAGCTGAAAACATAGTCATGCACAGTCACTGAACTGTTACCAGGCAAAGCAAAGGCAACATTGTGAGGCACTGATTTGCAGTTAGGATACCATTGTACTATTACAAATGAAATGCATGCAGCAGTTTTTTTACAAAATGAAATTTATTCTCAGAACAACATGACAGAAGCATTTTCCTTCCTCTCTCTGCCAAGCCTGCCATGTCCGGTCCCACCTGGCTTCCTCCGAGAACTCTGGACAGCCCAGAGCGAGCCGTCCCCCAGATGTCCCACTCTGCCGGGTCAGCAATCTACCGAGCCCCCAACAAGAAGGGCGTGTCCGACTTCCGGCCAAAATATGGTTCCTACGACCAGAATGGTGGAGGAGGAGGGGAGATGGCCAATAGGTACATGGCTACTGGACCCACAGGTAAGGCCATGCCTCTAGTCACATACTGGAGTCAGGGACCTCACAAATAGATTTCCCAGAGACACCACATCTCTGGAGAAAAACATGTTTAACTTTTGGTTCCTACACCAACATGGGGGAAGACCAAACCATATACAAAGTCATACAGTAAGCCTTGAACAGACAGACATTATTATTCTAAAGGAAATGTATAGTGAAACAATAAAACCTGAATAACGTCCTATTAAAGGACATGATTTCAGTGACTGTTAATGTTATCAATACACACACAGACACGTCAGTATTGCTTTGGGACAGACTTGAAAGAATATCCAGCTATTATTTAAAAGAAGATCTGCCGTTTGATGTCGTCTTCTTAAAAATTAGTCGTCTCTTTCAAAGATTAAGAAGCTCCTTGACAACTCTTGAATAAATATTTGCAATGTCTGTTCTCCAATCAGTAGGTGGACCCATCCATCATCCCTCTAGCGATCACTATTACTCCCCTCCCCATGGTTCCAAGGAAGAGCGCAACTGGAGCCCTCACATGGACAGCTACGAGCTGATGGTGGGTATATACTCCAAGCTATGGAGTAGAAATAGGGGGAAGGGCACTCGAAAAGTGATGGTGACATAAAATAATATTTTTTTGATGTTTTAACTGCACAGTTCTTATGCACTTACATGTTTTCTAATGCTGTGGTGATGTTAGCATCGTGGACCTGAGAAGCCAGTGAACTATCACTCTAAAATCGATGCGGATATTGACTCCCTCACCAGTATGCTTGCTGATCTGGACAGTCACCCGCAGGATTCCAGCACACAAGTATGAAAATAAACTTTATTTTCTTTCACTGCACATGAACAAGTCTCTTTTAATTTCTCAATCATTGTGCAAATTTTGCCACTAGTATTAAATTTTATTAACTCTCCGTCTCCCCACAGCTGTACGACAATGTGCCTTACAACAAATACCTCTCAGGGGATCACTACAAGCCTGCACACCAGAGCGCAGCCCCTCCTCAGGGTCGGCCATCCATGGGCTATCCCCCTCACCCCCAGAGCCAATACCACCCGGCGCCCCCTTACCCCAGTGAGCACCAGGCACCTCAGTACTCCACCTCCCACCAGCAGGACTACTACTCCTCCTCTTCAACCCCTAAACCCTACCCTCAGCCCGTTCCTGCCTCGTACACCACTGCCTCCACCCCCACCGGGCCCAGGTTCAGCGTCCAGGTCAAGACGGCACAGCCTGTCACCTACTCACAGACAGGGAGACAGGCTGAACAGGCCTACACCCCACCCCCTCCTCGCCAGCACGTGTCACGCCCCCCACCGCAGACTCAGGCAAGTCCTCAGGGCTGGTACCCTCCACACCCCAGTTCACAAGCTCAAGATTTGCACTCTGAGGTGGGGTACAAGGGGAGTGGCTCAGGCTCTGGAGGAAGAGTCAACCAGGGTCCAATATCTAAGAGAGGGATGGAAAATAATCAGACTGTGTCAGGAGCTGCACAGAGTCCTGCTTATCAGTCCAGCAAGGTAGGGGCACAAACCTGCATCTCTGGTCTGTTTAAATAATAAAAGTGAGCTTAAAATGAAATTGAAACATCGTAGAAAGTGATTTTATACTTGCTACGAATGCATTCTGGTTAGTTATCAGAGATGCAATTTCATTAAGAGAATGTTTTATTGTGGTTTTCCAGTTACATACTCTACTTGATTCATGTATCTCCTCTTTTCTAGCAGGGAATAGCAACAACAAGGCCTGAGGAGGAGCTGGATCGACTCACCAAGAAGTTGGTATATGATATGAACCACCCACCCGCAGAGGAGTACTTTGGTACGGTCCAGTCTCATGACATTGATGACTTATGACACCGCGGATCCTGCGTCCTGGCATTTAAAATAAAACAAAACTGTGTAACATTTTCACTGTGTCAACCTTTCCCGTCTCAGGTCGCTGTGCCCGCTGTGGTGACAACGTGGTCGGTGATGGCAGTGGCTGTATCGCCATGGAGCAGGTGTTTCACGTGGAGTGTTTCACATGTATCACCTGCCATGCCCGTCTCCGAGGGCAACCGTTCTACGCCCTGGACAAGAGGAGTTACTGCGAGAGTTGTTACATTGTAAGTGAAGGAACTCACGGTTGGTTATTAGTTTCAAACCCATCCCATCCATCACAGCCTCACATCCTTAACCCTTTCCTCGCTCAGGTGTTTAGATACGTTTATGTTTCAATATTTCCTGCCATTATCATACTGTTTCACCATGACCCATACTGTTATTTCCATCTTTGTGTTTAGAGTACACTAGAGCGCTGTTCAAAGTGCTCCAAGCCCATCCTGGACCGTATCCTGCGGGCCATGGGAAAGGCCTACCATCCTCGCTGTTTCACATGTGTGGTGTGTAACTGCTGCTTGGACGGGGTGCCCTTCACCGTGGATGCCACCTCTCAGATACACTGCATAGAGGACTTTCATAGGTACAAACACCTTCACACACCACGCTGAACATTGTTTTCGTGATGCTATGCATGATTTTAATAAAGCGCAGAGAGAAGTGTCGTTAAGTGAAAACCTCGATGGTTGTGGTCCCTGACAGGAAGTATGCGCCTCGCTGCTCGGTGTGTGGTGAGCCCATCATGCCTGAACCGGGGCAGGAGGAGACCGTCAGGATAGTGGCTCTGGACCGGAGCTTCCATGTCAATTGTTACGTCTGTGAGGTGAGAATTATGGAACTAAAAATACCAGAAACATCAGAACCTGTTGATTTTAAAACGTCTCGTGATAGTTTTGAAAATTTGATTTTGAAGAGTTTGATGTGAGTGGGCACATTTTCAGTTTTAGTTGAAGAATAAAGGGCTGAAAAAGCAAAAATTCCACAATTTCTTCTATAAAAGTTTATAAAACTGTTTAGGTACTTATAAAGGTCATAAGACTCTAAATAATTTATGGAAAAATTCTAACCTTGCCTGGAAAATGTTGGATTAAATTACCATATATTACCATGTTCTCTACAGTAAAACCCAAAGAAGGTTTAGAGTGGTGCTGGATTTGTTACCTTACTACAAATATTTGCAGTACGAGTCTATGTGAGAGCATTAAGATGAACTGACTGGAGTGTCTGTATTCATCAGGAATGTGGTCTCCTGCTGTCGTCTGAAGGGGAGGGTCGAGGCTGTTACCCGCTGGACGGCCACATCTTGTGTAAGAGCTGCAGCGCTCGCCGCATCCAGGACCTCTCAGCCAAAATCTCCACTGACTGCTAACAAAGCTCCTGGGTCGAGGGCACCTTTTCAGCACAAACAGTCAACATATTACACGTGACTGACATCACAGACAGGACATGCCCCGGCTTTGTTCTGTCAAGTGAATTACTTTTTGTTTTTTCTCTTGGTTGCTCTGATCATGAATTGACAAACATTGCTATAGCTCCCTCTGTTGTTCTGCAGCTGCAACTTCATGCACAGAGGAACATTTTCTGTTTTTAGTCTTACTGATTCACATGAGAGAGTTGCAACAGAGCAACCACCTCACTAATTTCCTTTCATTCAGATGTCCTACCATCTTCTCTCTTTTTGTTGGTACACAGCCGCCCTGCTTTTCACATTTAGCACAGTATCATATTAGAATGACATTAGCCTGACCTGCAGGCAGCTTGGGCTCCACATACCATTTATTCACACCGGTACTCACCTAGTAGCTTGCACATTATCACTCAGATTGTCACCGTCAAAGACAATGAAAGTGTGGAGGGATATCACAGATTCAGGCCTGAAAATGAGTATTTTTGTAGAGAAGCGGCACAAATGAGAATGAGGGCGACGGCTCGTCTAGACGTGTCTAAGCGCTGGGACCTGTACATTTGTAAAACGTCAAAGTGCGGAACTGCCTCAAAAAAAAAAAAGCATTTTAAAAGCACATAAAGCAACAACTGTGACTGTACATAACAGACTGCTTGGGTTTGACAGTGAAACTGATTTGAACAGCATGTAGCCTTTAGTGCAGTGAATCTTTGCAGTGAGTAGCCTCATAGAACAAGAAATGTAGACGAAAGGAATGTGTAGTTAACTTTACAGCACACAACCTAATTTTTTTTTTTAAATCCTCTTTAACTTTTACTGAATGCTAGTACAATATTTGCTTGAACAGATCTCATTATTCAATCATTACAATATCATGTTGTTTAGTTGATAAATCAAAGCTTATAACAGGATTTTTGCCATTTTTTTTTTTTTAAACATCCAGAATAACATTCTTGAATGTCTACGATACACAATCTTGCTTTGGTTTTGTTTAATATTTGTTGTGTGCTTGATACTTGACTGTTACATTGAAGACGATGGTGCAATGAAGTCAAATGCTTTCTTCTGTGTAAAGGAAAACAGGGTGTCGGTCACTTATGCGGCTTGAAAGCATCCTACTTTACGAAGCTTGAGCCTCATGTGAAGCGTCTCTAAATGTGGGGAAATTATGGAACTGAAGTTGTAGTAATAAGTATGTTGGGTAAATTCTTTTACTTGACAAATACTTTTACATACTGGTTATTCTTTACATTAGATGAAATAAGTGGAGTTTAATATCATGTATTTCCTCCTCCCCAAAAAAAACAGATTGTGATTTTTGGATTACAAGTCTTCGCATGTGGAGTTTATTTTTGTTCATCCTTGCACTCATGTGGGCCAAGTTGTCATATTCTGAGACTTTGGAGCTACAGTATTTGTTATGATTGTGTTTAACCGCTGTCTTTCCGTCCTCATTTTGTATATGTGTAACTTAAAGGGCTAGAAATTTGAAAGCCTTACCTCAAGGATGTCATTCAGTTTCATAATGATCCTTTTGTGAAACTGAGTTTGTCTGTGAATTCTGCTTTTTTTTTCTCTTTTTTTTGTGCTCATGCTTAAACAGTTTTCATCACTTGTTAATTTATCTCATGATGTATATACTGTATTAGCACTATTCAGCTTTTTACCACCAAGGCAATCATTTCATTAATGCTCAGATGTATCATTTTTAAAATCCTGAATCATGCCAACGCATCCATTCATCGTTCTTACTGTTTGAAATGCTGTGAATCGGAGCTCGTAGATCAAAACCCACGGTACTGCAGCAGACTTCAGTCCGCTGATGAATTCACACTGAGGAGAGGGAGGCCATTTTGTACTGAATAGACAGATTATTAGTAGAAATGACAGTTAGTTACATGAATGGGAGAGCATGTGAACCCGAGGGTGGATTTTTCTCCTGATGCAGGTTGTAGAAACATAATTGATTATTAAAATGTCAGCAAGTTCATTACCGTGTTTGTCACTTTTTATATGTTGGTGTTTAAAAGAAAGTGATATTTCCCAGGCAGGGAAGACACAATTGTGTTGCATTATGGGAAATGTATGATCCAGTGTATTTTTAGTATTTAATCTAGTCAAAATGTCAGGATATCTCACCTCTGCTGCTTCCGCTTTGATGATTCTTGTTGAAATTGTTTCTTGTAAATCTCCAAACTTCATTCAAATGCAATAATAAATCTTGGATATAACACCACCACACATACAAAGAGAAAAAAATCATGATGTAACTTGAAAAAGTATAACCTTTTAAATCAGAAAAGTTTATTTTAGTCACCGCTCTTAAAATATACAATCCTATTATTGTTTACAATTACCAAAAACAACCGTATATTTGGCATTTTGCAGTAAATGACGCAGTTACGACAAAGTGGGCAAACATGGAGTAAAGTGCAGTTAAAAACAAAAAATATACTCCAGCTTGAAAGGCTCCCGTCGTGTGTTAACACGAGGTGAACGTCTTCCAGAAGAAGTTGCGGCAGCCTGCTTTGCGCTCCCTTTGGGAGAGGGGAAGGTGTCGGCGCATCACCTCCTCCCTGACTCCCACCTCTTCCTCCTCCAGCCCGGGGAGCATCTGGTCTACTCTCGTTGCCATCAGTTCAGACACAAACTTCAGCAAGAGCAAGTGAGCGAGATCCTAAAGGAGGACAGACAAGGAAAGGACTGGCAACTCGAGAAAAGTGCTTTAAATATAAAGGAGGGTTAATCTGAACCAGCTGTTGATCACCAGATCCTACACAAAATTCTTCATATTCTAACTTATTTTATTTGAGCCAGTTAAATCTGCACAATATGAAATATAGCAGTGAATTACCTTGTCGTTTGCGAAGTCTGCTCTCAGTATTTCTGTCTGCATGTCTCTGCGTGGAGCACCGCTGACCTGCACCAGCAGCACAGAGGAAGACAAAGCCACCAGAAGAACCTGCACCTGAGAGCCAAGCATCTCCACTTCAAACAGCAAACAGAAGAATCCTCCTCTTATATTCCCTGATGCGCTTTTCAACACAGATGATGTGCAATGCTGGAAAAAGTCCCAAAAAAAATAGAACCTTCTAACCAATCAGAGGTGCAAGAGCTGAACGTTATCGCTGTTTGAGTGGGAAGTGTTGAGCTGATAAATAGGGGTCTTCATCCTCAAATCCTCCTCATTCTGAAGCCAAAGGATGTGATTGGTGGAGAAGAAGAGTGGCAGTAAGGGAATGAAGAGGTGTGTCATTAGACAAGATAAGGTCATCATTAGCCACAACAGCATGGACGAAGCAGCTCCCATAACACGGCCAACAAAAACCTCCAAGACCTGACTTTTGGGATAATCAGTGCTCATGTTGTAAAAGCTGTAACTGTGAAGTGTCACATGCAAAACACGACAATAAAGTGCAACTTAATGGCAGTGCACGGTTTTACTTCCGTCGGTCATGATTAGCTGCACCAGCTTTGTAGGTGTCCTGCACAACATGAGTTCCTGCATGCTGTGCCTTGTTGTTAATGACACAATGTGACTCAAATGTTAATGAGGCCGCCCGGACACCGCTAACCAGTCTGACACGCCACCAAACTTCATGCTGTCACTCTGAGTCAATAAGAAATGAACAGGGGAAATTATCATCTAAATGTTAGACTGTAAACAAAACGCATGATGTGAGTCTTTTGTTTGCAGTCTGGACATAAATAAGAGCACAGCTGCAGTGTCTGGTGAAGAGGCAAAAACTGGAGGGATTTGCTATTAAGTATTATCACCTTTCATCTTTGACATTTGGCCAGAATTTACATTTCCACCCACTAAAAGATGATGTCAGAGGAGCGGGAAGGTCACAGACACCACCAAGCCACCTAGTTAACTTAGTTCAGTGGTTGTCAACCTGAGGTTCAGGACCCCCAAAAGGTCACAAGATCAACCTGAGGAGTCATGAGACAGTTTAAGGGGAAGTCAATTTTACAAGTCTTAGGAAGTACTCAGGCATTGCAATATGAAACTTCTGGCCCTACACATGACTGGGTTCTCGCCCCGGGTCTGGCCCGTTTACTGTACTTCCACATCTGGGCAGTTTACGGCTGTTACCCTCCAGTATTGTCTGACAGCTGCAACATTTTCTGCGTATGTGCCAGAATTGGTCCAGATGTGGAAGTAGCATCTGCCTATCATGCTGTATATGGGCCGGATTCGGGCCGTGGAACCAGGCATGTACTGGGCCTGAAGGAATAAGAAGTCTGATAAACCGCCTACACATGAGCGTTTTAGTCGAAACCAAAATATTACAAAGCATATTTTGGTTTCGACTAAAATGCTCATGTGATCTGCTTTACCTACTCTACATTGTTCTGTCTGAATGCATTGTGCTAACATGACTCTTACTGGTGTGAAACCACATTTTCCCCTCCAGGAATTCTCAATTGTTTTCCTCATTATGAAAATGTTTCAAATAAAATGGGGGGAAAAAAATACTCTAATACTGTATTTGAATTGTTACACATTTAAAGGACATCACAAAATCATATCTTGTTTCTGTTCCTGAACAGCTTGTCAAAAAATTAACCAATATCATCTCCACATCTTATTCTTTAAATAGATAGTGACCTTCTCTGCAGATGAGTTTTCCTGTTTCTTCTCCACAGGACTCTCACTGATAAGTCCGATTACTCAGACTTTGAGTAACATTTCATTGTGGAGTGAAGAAGAAAGGGGGGGTGGGGGGGGTGGGTTTGGTGACTGCAGGCATCCAGCTGTGCTGAAGGAGAGGGGTCCAACACCATGATGATCACACAAATCACACCTCCACTGCCTCCATCCCTGCTGCGACATGATATGAAATAGTGTCAACACTTTGTCAGGGATAATTAAAAATCATTCATCTGTGGTTAATCATGCAGCGACTCCTCCTGCTGGTTTACACATCACTCCATAGGCTGCTTCTTTCTATATTTCAAACATTTCAACATATTGAGACGAAAATTTCTCTGCCATGTCATATTTGCTGACAATCTTTCCACAGTAGGGGGCCTTAGTGTAAATCTTGTTGATAGGCAGCCATGGTCGAACCTCACTCCAGCTCAGAAACTCTTTCTTATTCCCTTGTCACGGCAAAAATAATTAATAGTACAATAAGTAATACCTATATAAATGGAAGAAAACTGTTTACCCAACCAATAAAATGAGGCTTGTCAACTTCATAAATACCCTACATTTAGAGAAGAGAAACTTTGTTTTAAAAGACAATCTCTCTCAATTTGAATTTGACAACCCTTAATTTATTTCCCTGCAGCAGTGTAAAAGTGTTACCAAAATTATGATTCAATTTACATTTAACATCTTTTAACGTGAACAACAGCTGCTCAATTAAAATCTGTCAAGAAAAAGCAGTCCAGTGCAGTTCAATGCTGTGCTGTTCATATCAGAGACAATACACTCCGACCACTAGATGTCACTGTGACACCGCGTTTTGATTCAGCAGCTCGCTTCATTCATTTCAGCGGTTTCAAGTCAAATACAGAGGTCTGAGAAATGACTCGAAAAATACCCGCGTGACTTTTTGCTAATTTACTTTAGGGTAACTTATAAGATATATATCACTTATGTTTTTATAAAGAATAAAGTCAAGAAAACGGAAGCCTGGGCTAATTAGCTTCTCAATTTACAGGTGAGTCTGTCAAAATGGCGACATTTGAAAAGGTAAACACGACTGACATCGAAGCTACGCCTCAACTCACTCTCTACATTTACCCGTTAAAAATGAAAATACTATGTTTCCATATTTTGTGTGGGTAAGTTTCACAGTGAAAGGTAAGGGCACGCTTTAAGTGTGGCCTCGTGCATTGACTTATGTGTTTGTTTCAGTGTGGTGTTGCACCTGGCCTTGCCTTTGTGTGTCACCAGCCCAGCAGAGACAGGTAACAGTGAGTGGTGCCATAAAGCCAAAAATACCTGTTTCATAACATTTCTCGGGGGGGGGGGTCAGCCATGATAATAACTAATAATATATTACCTTCCAGTGTACAGACTTCTATGTCAGTACTATTAAAAACTTCTTCCACATGGGAAATATGTTTGTCACAGTCAGAGCTCTTGTCTGAGATTATATACAGAATATGAAGGTAAATAAATAGTGCAGGTGGAGGGATATATCGCAAATACTGTTCTGAACATTACATTGTTTAATGGGTACCCAATGAATAGGGACTGGAAATGTGGTTGAAATTAGTATCAAGTAGTTTATCATCTTTATTATGATGATATGGCAGTGTATGCAAAATAATATAAAGTAAACAAATTTATATTCAAAGCAATGAACTGTGTTCCACTATTATGCATTGTATGAGACATAAATCTATATAGATGTAAAACCAAACCATTACTATTTTATTTTGTTGATATTTTTTGTCACAGTTCACTTGGAATAATTTTTTTGAACAATACATATGTATATACTATACATATATATATCATAATATGTTATATATATATATATATAAGTCTGTATCAGAAAATTCAAAAAATATTGAATATTTGCAGTGAATCTTGGTGTAGGCTGAAATATATGAATCTGTTGAGATATATGAGAAGTTGAGATTAAATGGCATTATTAATATTTTCAGGAACTTTTCAGACCAAATGCCTCGAGCGTCACTTCTGGCTCTCTGTCAAGTCCAGCTTCCTCGGCTCAATGATCCGTTTTGACTTTGAAGGTATGTGCCTTTATTTTCGTTCAGAAAGTGGTTAGTAGAGAAGTTGTTGAAACTGAGGAAGCGAGTGGTTGGTTTGTACTACTGCCAGGGGAGTTGTACTTTCTGATGTTGGATTCCTGTTGTCACCAGACCAGAATGGATATCACATCCTCTCTGATCAGGAGGCTGCACTCTGTGGTTACACCGTCCTAATCGGTGACGTCGGAGACCTGGTGTTTCGTGCCTCCTTCCTGGCCTGTCACGTTCACACCCAGGTACGTACCGGCATTT